CGTGCGGGCAAGGGTGGGTCACCCTTGACCAGACGCCTCAGAGGGCCAAGCAGGAGGAGGTCAGGGCTGAGTAGGGTCCGTTGTGGACGACCTTCACCCTCGCGCGTGTCAGGGTACATCATCAACAAGGGAGAGCTGAAGTTGGCCTGGTCGCCCTCACCCAGTCACGTGGGCGACCAGGCAGGGAATGCCAGCGAATTTATGTTAGCTTATATTGCTCCTCGTGTGACCCCAACTCTCATGGGACTCCACTCTCTTGAGACGCTCTCATGGGACCCCACTCCCTTGAGACGCTCTCATGGGACCCCACTCCCTTGAGACTCTCTCATGGTACCCCACTCTCTTGAGACTCTCTCATGGGACCCCACTCCCTTGAGACTCTCCCCTGGGACCCCACTCCCTTGAGACTCTCTCATGGGACTCCACTCTCTTGAGACTCTCTCGTGGGACCCCACTCCCTTGAGACTCTCTCATGGTACCCCACTCCCTTGAGACTCTCTCATGGGGACCCCACTCCCTTGAGACGCTCTCATGTAACCCCCACTCAAGTATAAGACTAAATAGGGAGGAACTGAACTGTGTATCTGGGGCGGATGTGCTTGTAGGAAAACAAGCAATCGTTGGCTCTATAGTTCAACAAGAAACTCTTTGCTATGTAGGTCAACAATCAACTGTACGCTCTCGGTCAACAATCAGCTCTTGGCTGTAGGTCAACAATCAGCTCTTGGCTGTATGCCAACAATCAACTGTTGACTCTGTAAATCAGCAATCAACTGTTGACTCTGCTGGTCAACAATCAACTGTTGGTTCTGTAGATCAACAATCAATTGTTGACGCTGTTGGTCAACAATCAACTGTTGACTCTGTAGGTCAACAATCAACTATTGGCTCTGTAGGTTATCATTCAACTGACGCCTTCCTAAGTCAACAAACAGTTGTTGGTTTTGAAGATCAACACTCAATTGCTTTGGAGGTCTACAATCAACAGTTCATTCTGAAAATCAGCAATCTACTGATGGCTCTGAACGTCAACAGCCTACTGTTAATCACGTCCAGATTCATTTGTAGCTTTTCGAGCACACAGCTGTATTTCATTAAGCCCCTATTTCATATTAGTTCATTGATTTAAATAAGTAATGGTAATATCTTATCATAGACATAATGACATAGGTTAAAATCCCCGCACTTATATATTTGTATATTTTATGTAAATATTTACACTATATCTTTCACACTGGAAATCATAGTATATCACGTGTATAAAGTATATCAGAGACATGAATTTCACTTTGGAAAGTATACATTAAAAATTTAATTTACACGTTTATATTTTAAACGATACACGTGTCTCCGGAAGTCGCGTTGGAATTCTCAAATAAATGTTTCATGATATAAGAAACTATTAAACTAAAGCTAACTGACCGATAATGGCTAGAAAACTCCTTGTTATTTTTTTTCCTAAAAAAAAAAACCCTCATGTGGTCTGACATTCACAATTTTCCGTATTCGTAACAGAACGTCGCATTTTGACGAATACTCTGCCTAAGGCCAAAAATTATCGTACTAGAAAATGGTAGCGGCTCTCGAAATTGACATACTGCTGTGAGAATAACTGACTCGTCGGATTTATTGATTTAAAATTCAAATTTATATTAATTTATATAGTAATTTATTTCTTACGTTAATTTATTTATTTCGATAGCGGACTGTATGATGTTTAAAGTGGACTGTATGAGTTTATTCCCACAAATCGCACCTACACAAGCTGGGGGGGGGGTGTTATATGATATAGTCTATCAATCGAAATTATCGATTGATAGACATTCACTAGAATGTTACTAGGTGTTAAACTACATATGTTAATAAATACTTAGGAAGCCTTATCTGATAAGAAGGCTTCACCTTTTTTGTTGGTGTGGAGTAAGTGGGTAGCCAGCCAGTCACGTGCTCTCCACATTAACAACATTCACTTCTCATCTCACCCGCAAACGAGATTGCACAGTAATATTTGCTGCGCATAAATTATTCTGTTAACATGTATATTAGAATATTCTGAAATAAAGGTACCAAATTATTGCACACCTTTGGGTTTGTTGTTTATATACGACATTACCATAACAGTAAAATTACATAATGAAAGGAGAGCTCTATTTCATTCAAAATTAACTGCTACCAGAAATTTTAGCCAAATATCCCCAGTTTGTTAACTGTAGGTAGTAACTAAGTGACTGTAACCTATCCACCGCTGCCCACTGGATGAGGGGCGGTGTGCAGGACAAACATATCAATTGTGACACTAGCTCTCTACATATGTCAGTTGCTTAATTTAGAAACTGTACTTGTGGTTGATCTTGAACCCACTGAAGATATGACGATGTCTATTGAATTTTGTCGGTAGCACGTCAAGATTGTAACCTGCTTAGCTAAATGAATTGCGAAGTTCAGTCCCGGAGCCCATTATGTGCCTTTGTAACCCTTTCCAATATCGCCAGCAAGATGGGTGTGGGGTGCATAATAAATGAATTAAACTAACAAAACTAAAGCTCTACAAATCATTTAGTATACTGTACGGATATAATGCCGTCTAACTCCCTAGTACGACGGTTCCCGCACGAGGCAGAAACAAATCGATTTGTTACCCGTACCTAACTCACGGGGCTGCTTCATGGGGTGTGTGGGTGTGGTGTGGGGAAAAAAAAAAATAGTTAGTAAACAGAACTTGCTATACACAAGTACTGGGAATGACACCACGACAAGTCTCAACTGTCCGGGGTTAAAATGGCTACTCCCCTTCCCACTCACGCATCCGGCTTCTTCTCCAGATGGGCTTATCAACCCATCGGGCGTTTCTGCCCGAAACGCTGTGCGTACTAGTGGCTTTACAAGAATATAATTACTATGCTATGTAACCTCACAATCCCACTGTACCTTCTTGTATATATATAAATAAATAAATCAAAACGTGGTAAGAAGGTTAATATTTAATCTATTTTAATACTGATAATTGTGTTAATTCAAGGGAAATGTTTTTATGATGTTTACAGTCCAGAGACTGATGCTTTAAGAGGAATTCCCAATATTATTAACTGGCGAATTTAAGGGTGACATATGGCAATAATATCCCCGTTTTCTTCTGAAGAAAATTCCACGGCAACCTCATTTTCTTTGAGTGAAGTAAAGCACTATTTCTAGGGTTAATTTACAAGTGCAAAACAGCAGCAATATTAACTTCATATTGTATTGAAAGTTAGTAAATGGTGTCGGTTTTTCCGACCACTGCCTCGTTTTCTGTTTCGGGTCCTCTGGTAGGTTAGGATAAGGGCACTTTAGTGCGACAGTTTCTTGACGAAGGGGAAACCTTAGGAGGACGGGCTGACTCACGAGTAATAGCTCATTTGAAAACCCAGAACTATTGTCAGGAGTTTCACAATGAATTGTTTTACTTTCCTTTTCACGGTCAACTTGTCAGAGCATCGTTTTTTAAGATATTGTTTAATCTTATATTTCTGTACCATTAAGTTTCCGTCACTGGAAAGCGGTGGTGCTGGTGAAGGTATATGATTTAATTCTTCTATTGGGAATAAATACTAAACAAATATGGCTCCATGTACTCTTCGTCATATATTAAGTCAAAATTTTCTGTTCATATAGGACCAAGAGAGAGAGAGAAAGAAAGAGAGAGACAGAGAGAGAGAGAGAGAGAGAGAGAGAGAGAGAGAGAGAGAGAGAGAGAGAGAGAGAGAGAGAGAGAGAGAGAGAGAGAGAGAGAGAGAGAGAGAGAGAGAGAGAGAGAGAGAGAGAGAGAGAGAATTCAATTCAATTATTTCATTATTATTATGCACCCCATACCCATCCCGTGGGCGGTGGTGAAAAGGGTTACAGAGGCACATAATGGGTTCAGGAACTGAACCGCACAGTTCATTCAGCTAAACAAGTGACAATCTTTTGAAACTAGTTACGCAGTTGTTAATGTTGTATACACATGTACATATATATACACATCCATGTACACAAATACATATACATTCATGTACACAAATGCATTTACTTCATGTGTACAAATACATATACATCCATGTACACAGATCCATATTCATGTCAATAATCTTTTTATAACACAAGTGATTCAACAAGAGGCTCACAACAGTCACTATACAAGGCACTATACATCTATGGTGAGTCACCAGCCCATCCTCCGAACAGACAGTACGTTTTAATACTAAATGTAATAAGTACAATCCTAACTATCGGCATAGTACATAAATGCACTTTAATCGCCAGCATCGCACCAAAATATTGTGAATATTAGAGTTTACCTGAAAAGCTGTATAGAAAACCACGACCTAACCTAACCTTCTTAGTGTAGGAGAACAAGCATGTAAATAACATTTATTGCTTCTTAATTATAATTAGTACTTAATATATAGGTATATTGGTATTACAATTATATAAAACTAATAAAACAAAACTAAAGTCTTTCAAAAAATTATAAAGTAACTCAGGATATTTTCCACACCACGCCCCCCACCAGGCCCACGCCACGCCCCCACCAGGCCCACGCTACGTCCCTCACCAGGCCCTGCAACGCCACGCCCCCCACCAGGCCCACGCCACGCCCCCCACTAGGCCCACGCCACGCCCCCCACTAGGCCCACGCCACGCCCCCCACCAGGCCCACGCCACGCCCCCAACAGGCCCACGCCACGCCCCCCACCAGGCCGCACGCCACGTCCTCCACATACCCCCCGCCACGCCCCCACCAGGCCAACGCCACGCCCCCCACCAGCCCCCCACGCCCCCCCAGCCCACGCCCCCCACCATGCCCACGCCACGCCCCCCACCAGGCCCACGCCACGCCCCCCACCAGGCCCTGCCACTCCCCCACCAGCCCTGCCACGTCCCCACCAGCCCCGCCACGCCCCCCCCCACACGGCCCACGCCACGCCCCCCACCAGGCCCTGCCACGCCACGCCCCCCCACCAGCCTTCCACGCCTCCCACATGCCCACCCCACGCCCCCCCACCCCCACCACCCACGCCCCCACCAGGCCAACGCCACGCCCCCCACCCCCACCAACGCCCACGCCCCTACCAGGCCCACGCCACGCCCCCACCACCAGGCCCACGCCACGCCCCCCACCAGGCCCACGCCACGCCCCCACCAGGCCAACGCCACGCCCCCACCAGGCCAACGCCACGCCCCCACCAGGCCCACGCCACGCCCCCCACCAGGCCCACGCCACGCCCCCACCAGGCCCACGCCACGCCCCCCCCACCAGGCCAACTGCCACGCCCCCACCAGGCCAACGCCACGCCCCGCACCAGGCCCACGCCACGCCCCCTACCAGGCCAACGCCACGCCCCCACCTGGCCAACGCCACGCCCCCCCACCAGGTCAACCCACGCCCCCACATGCACGCCACGCCCCCACCAGCCAACGCACGCCCCCCACCAGGCCCACGCCACGCCCCCCACCAGGCCCACGCCACGCCCCTGCCACGCCCCCACCGGCCCACGCCACGCCCCCGCACCTGGCCAACGCCACGCCCCTACCAGGCCAACGCCACCCCCCACACCTGCTCACGCCACGCCCCCCCACCAAGCCCTGCCACGCCCCCACCAGACCCCACGCCACACCCCCCCTACCAGCCCACGCACGCCCCCCACTGCCCACCCACGCCCCCCACCAGCCCACGCCACGCCGCCCACCTGGCCAACTCCAACGCCCCTACCAGGCCAACGCCACGCCCTCCACCAGACCCACGCCACGCCCCCACCAGGCCCAGCCACGCCCCCCCCCCAGGCCCACTGCCACGCCCCCCACCAGGCCCACGCCACGCCCCCCACCAGGCCCACGTCACGCCCCCACCAGAGCCACGCCACGCCCCCACGACCCCCACCATGCCCACGCCACGCCCCCACCAGGCCCATGCCACGCCCTCCACCAGACCCACGAAACGCCCCCACCAGGCCCAGGCCACGCCCCCTACCAGGCCCATGCCACGCCCTCCACCAGGCCCACGCCACGCCCCCCACCAGGCCCACGCCACGCCCCCACCAGGCCCACGCCACGCCCCCACCAGGCCCTGCCACGCCCCCCACCAGACCCACGCCACGCCCCCCACCAGCCAACGCCACGCCCCACCGCCCTGCCACGCCCCCCACCAGACCCACGCCACGCCCCCCACCAGGCCCTGCCACGCCCCCCACTAGACCCACGCCACGCCCCCACCAGGCCAACGCCACGCCCCCACCAGGCCAACGCCACGCCCCCACCAGGCCCACGCCACGGTTATCTCCCACAGTCAGGTCCCTGGGGCACGGGGGCGAGGCGTTCCACGTGGCTCAGGCAGTGGGGGAGGGAGGGCAGGGGGGGGGGCGGAAAGTGGATAGTCGAGAGTGGGTGGTCAGGCAGGGTCGGTGGAAGTCAAGTGGATGGTTGTGGAGTACTAAGAATGGCCTTGCTATGGGTACTCACCTAGTTTTCCTTGCGGGGGTTGAGCTCTGGCTCTTTAGTACCGCCTTTCAACTGTCAATCAACTAGTGTACAAATGATTGAGCCTACTGGGCTCTATTATATCTACTTTTGAAACTGTGTATGGAGTCTACCTCCACCCACATCACTGCCTAGTGCATTCCATCTGTTAACTACTCTGACACTGAAGAAATTCTTTCTAAAAGCCCTGTGGTTCATTTGGATACTAAGTTTCCACCAGTGTCCCCTTGTTCCACCCGTACTAAATAGTTTGTCTTTGTCTACCTTTGTCCAGCTGGTCCTAGCGCTCTGCCGCCGCTAGAACCCGTTTCTGACCAGCACTGGTTCACTCTCCAGGTCTCGTTCTGTGCATAATGGAGAGGGCCGATGCTGAGTGGGTCGGGGACTGGGTGGCACTGCTAGGGGTGGGCAGGGACTGGGTGGCACTGCTAGGGGTGGGCAGGGGGTGGGCAGGGACTGGGTGGCACTGCTAGGGGTGGGCAGATGGTGGGCAGGGACTGGGTGGCACTGCAGGGGTGGCAGGGGCTGGGTGGCACTACCGGGAGTAGGTGGGAGTTCATTGGAGTGGGTGAGCGGACTCCTGGGCGCCCGGGAGGTCAGTGTGTCTTGGCTTCCCTCGGGGTGAGCAAGGTGGGTCCTCCATCTTTTCCTTCTCTGGAAAGTTGTGGGTGAATTTGTCCTTGGGAATAGTGCTGTGTTGCCCAACAGGAGGCGAAGGCACGTGTGTTCAACAGGAGGCGAAGGCAAGTGTGTTCAACAGGAGGCGAAAGCAGGTGTGTTCAACAGGAGGCGAAAGCAGGTGTGTTCAACAGGAGGCGAAGGCAAGTGTGTTCAACAGGAGGCGAAAGCAGGTGTGTTCAACAGGAGGCGAAAGCAGGTGTGTTCAACAGGAGGCGAAAGCAAGTGTGTTCAACAGGAGGCGAAAGCAGGTGTGTTTAACAGGAGGCGAAAGCAGGTGTGTTCAACAGGAGGCGAAAGCAAGTGTGTTCAACAGGAGGCGAAAGCAAGTGTGTTCAACAGGAGGCGAAAGCAGGTGTGTTCAACAGAGGAGGAAGACAGGTGTATTCATCAAGGGACGAAGACAGGTGTGTTCAACAGGTGACGAAGACAGATGTGTTCAACACAGTAGTGCTGAACGACGCGCGACAAGTTTCTCCAAATCTGTAATTTTTTTATATTCAAAAATGCTGTGATTCAGACATTTTTTTCTAACATTTTTATAAAAAAATATTCTTCATAATGAGACCGATGAAGACATGTGACAAGTCGCCGACTTCCTGTCCCGGTCGAGGCCACTAGAGAGATAGTGGCCCTCGGGTAAATTCAGGTAAAATTCATCTCCCGAGCTCTGATATAAGCGACATTACGGTTACAAGCGAAAATTCTAACAATATCGACGATCAATTTGGAGAAATGATTAACCAAATAATATCGTGGGAAATCATCTGTGTATGAACGCGTCTGTCACGCAGTTTTGCCCGCGAGAAGAATGAGAAATACAAATTGAAAGTCACTGTAACGAAGAGCGTTCACACGTCCCACCGTGGGCGCCTGTAACACACGTCCCACCGTGGGCGCCTGTAACACACGTCCCACCGTGCGCGCCTGTAACACACGTCCCACCGTGGGCGCCTGTAACGCACGTCCCACCGTGCGCGCCTGTAACGCACGTCCCACCGTGGGCGCCTGTAACGCACGTCCCACTGTGGGCGTCTGTAACGCACGTCCCATCGTGAGCGCCTGTAACGCACGTCCCACCGTGGGCGCCTGTAACGCACGTCCCACCGTGGGCGCCTGTAACACGCGTCCCACCGTGGGCGCCTGTAACGCACGTCCCACTGTGGGCGTCTGTAACGCACGTCCCACCGTGGGTGCCTGTAACACACGTCCCACCGTGGGCGCCTGTAACGCACGTCCCACTGTGGGCGTCTGTAACACACGTCCCACCGTGGGTGCCTGTAACACACGTCCCACCGTGGGCGCCTGTAACGCACGTCCCACCGTGGGCGCCTGTAACACACGTCCCTCTGTGGGCGCCTGTAACACACGTCCCACCGTGGGCGCCTGTAACGCACGTCCCACCGTGGGCGCCTATAACACACGTCCCACCGTGGGCGCCTATAACACACGTCCCACCGTGGGCGTCTATAACACACGTCCCACCGTGGGCGCCTATAACACACGTCCCACCGTGGGCGCCTGTAACACGCGTCCCACCGTGGCCGCCTGTAATACACGTCCCACCTTGGGCGCCTGTAACACACGTCCCACCGTGCACGCCTGTAACACACGTCCCACCGTGTGCGCCTGTAACGCACGTCCCACCGTGGGCGCCTGTTAACACGCGTCCCACCGTGTGCCCCTGTAACGCACGTCCCACTGTGGGCGTCTGTAACGCACGTCCCACCGTGGGTGCCTGTAACACACGTCCCACTGTGGGCGCCTGTAACACACGTCCCACCGTGGGCGTCTGTAACGCACGTCCCACCGTGGGCGTCTGTAACGCACGTCCCACCGTGGGTGCCTGTAACACACGTCCCACTGTGTGCGCCTGTAACACACGTCCCCACCGTGGGCGCCTGTAACGCACGTCCCCACTGTGGGCGCCTGTAACGCACGTCCCCACTGTGGGCGTCTGTAACGCACGTCCCACCGTGGGTGCCTGTAACGCACGTCCCACTGTGGGCGTCTGGAACGCACGTCCCACCGTGGTTGCCTGTAACACACGTCCCACTGTGGGCGCCTGTAACACACGTCCCCACCGTGGGTGCCTGTAACACACGTCCCACTGTGGGCGCCCTGTAACACACGTCCCATCGTGGGCGTCTGTAACGCACGTCCCACCGTGGGTGCCTGTAACGCACGTCCCACTGTGGGCGTCTGTAACGCACGTCCCACTGTGGGCGCCTGTAACACACGTCCCACCGTGGGCGCCTGTAACGCACGTCCCACCGTGGGCGCCTGTAACGCACGTCCCACTGTGGGCGTCTGTAACGCACGTCCCACCGTGGGTGCCTGTAACGCACGTCCCACTGTGGGCGTCTGTAACGCACGTCCCACCGTGGGTGCCTGTAACACACGTCCCACTGTGGGCGCCTGTAACACACGTCCCACCGTGGGCGTCTGTAACGCACGTCCCACCGTGGGCGTCAGTAACGCACGTCCCACCGTGGGTGCCTGTAACACACGTCCCACTGTGGGCGCCTGTAACACACGTCCCACCGTGGGCGCCTGTAACGCACGTCCCACCCGTGGGCGTCCTATAACACACGTCCCACCGTGGGCGCCTATAACACACGTCCCACCGTGGGCGCCTATAACACACGTCCCACCGTGGGCGCCTGTAACACACGTCCCACCGTGGGCGCCTGTAACGCAGGTCTCACTGTGGGGGCCTATAACACGACCCCCACCGTGGGGGCCTGTAACACGACCCCCACCGTGGGGGCCTGTAACACGACCCCCACCGTGGGGGCCTGTAACACACGACCCCCACCGTGGGGGCCTGTAACACGACCCCCACCGTGGGGGCCTGTAACACGACCCCCACCGTGGGGGCCTGTAACACGACCCCCACTGTGGGGGCCTGTAACACGACCCCCACCGTGGGCGCCTGTAACGCACCTCACCTCTTCAATTCTACATTTCCTTCCATATCGTTCACTCCAGTATGTTATTATTTTACTGTGTAAATTTTGGACCTGGCCCTCCAGTGTTTTCCATGTATATATTATTTGTTAACTCCCTCGTATTCTTTCCAAAGTACATTTTGAGAGCTTTAAAACGGTCCCAATAATTTAGGCGTTTTATCGTGTCTATGCGTGACGTATAGGTTTTCTGTATTCCAACTATTCCAGCAATCTCTCCTGCTCTGAAGGAGTAAGTGAGTATTGAACAGCACTCAAGACGGGATAGCACCAGTGATTTGAATAATAGGAGCATTATGATGGGATTCCTGGATTTTAAGGTTCTCATAATCCATCTTATCATTGTTCTAGCTGACGCTATATTTGCTTGGTTATGCTCCTTAAATGTTAAGTCGTCAGACATCATAATGCCCAAATTTTTTTACAAGTTGTTTTTCTTCTATGGACAAATCTGGTTGTGTTCTGTAATCTGTGTTTAGTTAAAGTTCATCATTTCTACCATACCTAAGTACCTGGGACTGTTAAACATCATATTATTTTCAGTTCATAATCGAAGGCTTTATTAATATTAAAGCAGTTTTTCCGTCTTCCACATAGGTAATTTTCATGCTTGTTTTCACGTCTTCTGCAAAGGAGGAGACGAAAATGTGACTAATATTTTTGTCTATATCTGATATAAGAATGAAAAAAGCAGTGGCGCAAGGGCTATGCCCTTAAGTACAGAACTTTTCACTACTCTTGAACTTGGATTAACTTACTTTCTGTATTCTGTTTGCCAGAAAATGTAACATCCACCGCCCTACCAGGAAAGGCGCCACGTCTCCCCTCCTTGGTGCCTTCTTTTGACAATTTCTTGCTTGCGCGTTTTTCCCAGTGATCTCATATTATGGACAATAACTCCATGGGGCCACACTTATCAAATACATTTATAAAGCCTGTGTATACAACATCTGCATTTTGTTTTTCTTCTAATACGTTTGTGATTTTGTTTGATACGTTTCGTGGTTGAGTAATTGCGAAAGACAGAATCTTCCCTTTCTATATCCATGTTAACCTGGGTTGTGAAGTTCATTGTTCTCCTTGAAACTGGAGATTTGATTCCGAATTACTCTTTCAAAAAATTAATCAGGGGCGATATTAGTGCAACTTGTCTTCAGAGCTACTAACTAATATCCACGTTTTCTATACACCCGTAGGTTAGGTTAAGTGGGTTGTTTGGGCCTGTACGTTTCTGGTTAGTTTATCACGTTGTATTTTGTATGTTGTGGCAAATTAAGAGAATGTTAGTATGTATGCAAATATGATATCGACCAGAGGGCTGATATCGTGTGAACTCTGGTGAATGAGACATCAGCCTTAAGGGATCTGTCATGGGGTCATGTCTACAGCCCACTTTGGTCTAAATACTCTATATAAAAATAAACATTTGGGTCCCCGGTTCGAGTCTCCTAGAGCCCAGGTGAAGGGACTGTGTATAAAATGTCACCATTTTGCATGAGGGCTTCACCAGCCCCCGTTATGGAAGCGCTCAAATCCGTTATTGAGTATTGTACTATCTACTGTTTCTCAGTAATGTACTGTATTTATACTGTACTTTATTACTTGGTATTGTACTCCATATATTACTACTACATCTATACAACATTACTCTGCCCCACATCTATACAACGTTACTCTGCCCCACATCTATACAACGTTACTCTGCCCCACATCTATACAACGTTACTCTGCCCCACATCTATACAACGTTACTCTGCACCACATCTATACAACGTTACTCTGCCCCACATCTATACAACGTTACTTTACCCTCACATCTATACAACGTTACTCTGCCCCACATCTATACAACGTTACTCTGCCCCACATCTATACAACGTTACTCTACCCTCACATCTATACAACGTTACTCAGCCCTCACATATATACAACGTTACTTTGCCCCACATCTATACAACGTTACTCTGCCCCACATCTATACAACGTTACTCTGCTCTCACGTCGAGAAGTACAACACGACTACTTGCTGGGGGCGTAGCTCGACCCCCTCGACCTCGAGGGGGGTCGTAGCTCCCACTGACCTCACAACCTCACAAACAACAATGCAGCAGCACAAGTCTCGTGTTGCGCGTGTGTTAAGTTTAGTTGGTATTTACCAACTCGTCCCCGAAAAGAATGTTGGTCACATTAAGTCAGTCAGGTTGATGTTTACGAACAAGCCTCACACGCAACTAATGCCTGCGCGGACAGACTCTACCTAACAAATGGGGTCACACGCGACTAGGGGAAGTTGTGTTTGCCTTCGCGGACCCGCTCTGCCTAACATTCAGAGGGGGGGACAAGCGTAAACAAATTATATCATTAACTAGCCAACTAGTGAGGGCATCTGGGTTGAGAAAGCTTCCATTATATGCTTTGGGCGTAGCAATAAGGCCACGACGCAAGCTAAGATAATACCGGTGAAGGTCGCCATTCTCGACCTTCAAGTTCTTCAAGCGTAAGGTCGTGCCGCTATTTACTGCATGTGTTCTCAGGCCTCACGTGTTGACCTGTCGGCAGGCCAAGTCTCGATGCACGACCTGAAAAGGCAGAGGAGAATGTGAATTGACCTTGAGGGAAAGTGAAAGGTGAAAACAGTGCAGGGAAGTAGGATCCCTCCGTGGTAGTCGTTGTCCGTCGCCCTCTGCAGCAGTGGTCAGTGATCCGTCCCTGGACAAAACTTAGATTTTGACCGACACGTGTCTTTATTTATGGCCTGTGTAAATAAGTGTTAACCTAACAGCGAATTTAATGGTAATTACAGTATTTTGTTTCTCTCTCTTCACTTCAGTTAAACAACGTTTAAGTCATTACAGTTTTCATCTCAGTAAAAACGTTTATAATGTATCAACTCTATTATTGTAGGGTTTATACTGTATAAACCCCAAAACACTTACCAACATCAACAAACGCTCGCGTGCCGCCGGAAACACGTAAGCATTAGAGTGTCTTAAGAAAAAACTGTTTCTTAAAAACAGTTATACTCGCATGTTCCCGACCTGAACAGTCAAGCTGTTGACGTGAGGAAGTGTAGAATGTAACCCCCATCACGACTGACACTGTTTTTTGGCATCTAGATGAGTGTTAGGTTGGTGAAGTGTATTTAGATGAGTGTTAGGTTGGTGGAAGTGTATCTAGACGAGTGTTTGGTTGATGAAGTGTATCTAGACGAGTGTTTGGTTGGTGAAGTGTATCTAGACGAGTGTTTGGTTGGTGAAGTGTATCTAGACGAGTGTTTGGTTGGTGAAGTGTATCTAGATGAGTGTTTGGTTGCTGAAGTGTATCTAGACGAGTGTTAGGTTGGTGAAGTGTATCTAGACGAGTGTTTGGTTGGTGAAGTGTATCTAGATGAGTGTTTGGTTGCTGAAGTGTATCTAGACGAGTGTTTGGTTGATGAAGTGTATCTAGACGAGTGTTTGGTTGATGAAGTGTATCTAGATGAGTGTTTGGTTGCTGAAGTGTATCTAGACGAGTGTTAGGTTGGTGAAGTGTATCTAGATGAGTGTTTGGTTGGTGGAAGTGTATCTAGACGAGTGTTAGGTTGGTGAAATTATCTAAATATGGGGCGTAAGGTGGGTGAACATCATTACCATTATCAAGTTTCAACGTTTTCCCTCCTCGCTCTAATATATATCTATATAATATATATATATATATATATATATATATATATATATAATATATATATCTATAGATATATATATATATATATATATATTTTATATATATATATATATATATATATATATTATATATATATATATATATATATATATATATATATATATATATATATATATATATGACATGTCAGACCACGGAGGAAAATGAAACATGAATTTCCTTAAGTACTTTCGTATATTAATACATCTTCAGAAGGAGTCACTCCTTCTGAAGATGTATTAATATACGAAAGTACTTAAGGAAATTCCTGTTTCATTTTTCCTCCGTGGTCTGACATTGTCACATTTTTAATCACGTGTTTACTTTCGTGATATACACACACACACACATATTATATATATATATATATATATATATATATATATATATATATATATATATAATATATATATATATATATATATATATATATATATAAAATCACTCGACGAGAATCACCGTGGGAGCCATTCTTACCGTCCCACATTAATTATGGTCATTAATATACTCCCACGTTGCTCCACCTCCAGATTTTGTAGAATAATTGAAGCGGCAGAAAATCCTTAGTCGGTAGGGCAAATTTCAAGCTAAGAAGCGGAAATTAATCACCGACTGTAATTAGAGGAAATAATGAGTGAGCCAGGGGTAGGGAAAGGTGGGTTGGGGGGGGGGTAAGGAGGGGGATTAGGTGCAGGATTTAGGTGTTTACCGCCCCCTCCCTCTCATTCGGGAGGGGGGCGGTAAGAGTGAAATTCCTTTATATGGGGGCAGGATGTGAGGGAAGTGGAAATTGGGTTAGCGGAAATGGGGTGGGATGTTGGAAGGGGTAACGGAAGGCAAGATAAATGGAAAAGGGAAAGGTCGTTGAAACGGTGAGGCGTGCAAAGAAGCTACGGACATGAAGAGGAAGGCAAGGCTACCATAAGGTATAGAGAAGAGGAACAGAAGGTGAAGTAAAAGAGTAAAGAGCAACTAATAAAATTATTGTGTGGATGACATAAAAGCCGCGACAGTTGGCGAGAGAAAGGAATAATGACACAACGATGAAATAACATTAAATAACGCTGGCCATTATCTGGAGAAGGTGACGATGGGAAAGGTGGTGGAGATGATGATGATGGGATAGAGTAACATGACTGAGTGAGGTGTTGAGGACACGATGGCACGTCTAGCAGTCTTCCAATAATAATGAACAAATATAATATTAATATACCTGGTTGATGGGGTTCTGGGAGTTCTTCTACTCCCCAAGCCCGGCCCGAGGCCAGACTTGACTTGTGAGAGTTTGGTCCACCAGGCTGTTGCTTGGAGCGGCCCGCAGGCCCACATACCCACCACAGAAGATATAATTATAATGCATAAATAAATCACATTATCATGTATCATTGAGAAGATCAGTAGGAGCTATGAGCAGGATTCGAAACTATGTTCTGAATACTCCCAAACGAAGTCGTGGTGTAGTTTTCCAGTTCCATTGACCACTACGCCACGACATAGTAAAAAAGCAGTGCAACCTGGGATTCCACTGGATCCTCTAGGGGTTCCTGAGGCTTACACCGAACCCCAGCTGGGATTTCACACATTCCCCCACATGCACTCTTGCTTGTAGTGTAGGGTACAACTATAATGTGCTTGAATAGTGGAATTTAAAGCATAAACAATAAAACCACCATAAGCAACGCCCTTCGATCCTACCAGCCCTTCACTTGACTTTTGACATTATCTCTAAACTTTGTCAAGTTTTTGTAAAAGGATTTGCCTTCTCTTACGCCATTAAATTCGTCTGCGATAACCTTTGTTTTCCAGGTAATAGACTAATATCATCGCGTAATACATTATCCATCACCACAGAGGGGTATACATGGATGCAGGTGTGTGGAGCGGGTCAAGTGATCCGCCGAACCTTGTGTTGAGCTCTGTGCCCCTCTATAAAGCCTTGTGTTGAGCTCTGTGTCCCTCTATAATGCAGATATAGCACCGCTCTCATTCCCTTATAGTCTCGTCCTTTCCACACTGGTCGCTTGTTCGCCTCCCCACATTTCCTGCTCTTTCACTTCACCTCCAGGAGTTACTGAATGTGATGACAGAGGGGGGGACTGTGAAGCCTAGCCGTGCCATTACATAACCTCATCAAGGAATAAAACAAAAAGTCTTGCATATCTCAGAATCTTATTTCTCCAGTGGGTTCCCTTGTCTCATATTCTAATACTATCCACTGACAGTCAATCATATTTGGAGCTCAAATCTGATCAAGTTCGGAGGTGAGGCCGCGGTCTCTTGAGACGTCGATGGTCTTCACTGTTACCTTAATATTGGTGGTCTGGGCCGCTTGGTATTGGTGTACCGGTTTACAGAACAGTGTAGCTATTACACTTGAACCTCCTGTTGTTGATATTGTACTTGTAACGCTATCCCGAGGAACCCTGCAGTCCTAGAGGGTCACCTCTTCAAACCTGCTTTTGTTTTTAGCACAAGGCCGGCACCTCCTGTGTGGTGGTGTTTTGCTCTGTGTTTGAGAGAGAGAGAGAAGTGAAGGGAGCTATCAAGGGAAGCGCCAAGCAATTACGACTAAATAGCACTTGGAAGGGATGATGATAATTTTGGGATGGGACAGGGTGGGAGGGGGGGGAGGGGGGGGGGTGGGGGAGGAGGGGGAGGAGGGGGGGGGGGGAGAGAGAGAGAGAGAGAGAGAGAGAGAGAGAGAGAGAGAGAGAGAGAGAGAGAGAGAGAGAGAGAGAGAGAGAGAGAGAGAGAGAGAGAGAGAGAGAGAGAGAGAGAGAGAGAGAGAGAGAGAGAGAGAGAGAGAGGAGAGAGAGAGAGAGAGAGAGAGAGAGAGAGAGAGAGAGAGAGAGAGAGAGAGAGAGAGAGAGAGAGAGAGAGAGAGAGAGAGAGAGAGAGAGAGAGAGAGAGAGAGAGAGAGAGAGAGAGAGAGAGAGAGAGAGAGAGAGAGAGAGAGAGAGAGAGAGAGAGAGAGAGAGAGAGAGAGAGAGAGAGAGAGAGAGAGAGAGAGAGAGAGAGAGAGAGAGAGAGAGAGAGAGGAGAGAGAGAGAGAGAGAGAGAGAGAGAGAGAGAGAGAGAGAGAGAGAGAGAGAGAGAGAGAGAGAGAGAGAGAGAGAGAGAGAGGAGAGAGAGAGAGAGAGAGAGAGAGAGAGAGAGAGAGAGAGAGAGAGAGAGAGAGAGAGAGAGAGAGAGAGAGAGAGAGAGAGAGAGAGAGAGAGAGAGAGAGAGAGAGAGAGAGAGAGAGAGAGAGAGAGAGAGAGAGAGAGAGAGAGAGAGAGAGAGAGAGAGAGAGAGAGAGAGAGAGAGAGAGAGAGAGAGAGAGAGAGAGAGAGAGAGAGAGAGAGAGAGAGAGAGAGAGAGAGAGAGAGAGAGAGAGAGAGAGAGAGAGAGAGAGAGAGAGAGAGAGAGAGAGAGAGAGAGAGAGAGAGAGAGAGAGAGAGAGAGAGAGAGAGAGAGAGAGAGAGAGAGAGAGAGAGAGAGAGAGAGAGAGAGAGAGAGAGAGAGAGAGAGAGAGAGAGAGAGAGAGAGAGAGAGAGAGAGAGAGAGAGAGAGAGAGAGAGAGAGAGAGAGAGAGAGAGAGAGAGAGAGAGAGAGAAGAGAGAGAGAGAGAGAGAGAGAGAGAGAGAGAGAGAGAGAGAGAGAGAGAGAGAGAGAGAGAGAGAGGAGAGAGAGAGAGGAGAGAGAGAGAGAGAGAGAGAGAGAGAGAGAGAGAGAGAGAGAGAGAGAGAGAGAGAGAGAGAGAGAGAGAGAGAGAGAGAGAGAGAGAGAGAGAGAGAGAGAGAGAGAGAGAGAGAGAGGAGAGAGAGAGAGAGAGAAGTACAAAAGCATAGTTAATAACGATGTTCACACACACATCGTCATCATCGTCACTACCATTATCATCATAATCATCATCCCAATCATCATAGTCTTCATTGTCCCTATCTCCTTTACAGCCGTCACCTTATGTGCTACTTAATATAACTGGGTGTTGATGTGTCATGATGAGCGGGCAGGTGCTGTATAAACAGGTACCTTCACTCTCTTGTCCAACTGGTGCCTCATAGTACTCATACCTCCCTCATCCCGTCTGCTGCCCCTCACACACTCACTTACTGCACCCTCACACCATATACTTTTTTCAATGAGTCGTAAAATAAGAGGAAGGGACAAGATGGGGAAGTTGTCGAAGGCAATTTCGTACACAGTTCTAAACGTAAACACACACACACACACACACACACACACACACACACACACACACACACACACACACACACACACACACACACACACCACACACACACACACACACACACACACACACACACACACACACACACACACACACACACACACACACACACACACACACACACACACACACACACACACACACACACACACACACACACACACACACACACACACACACACACAGAAGAATTAGGGACTCTAAATGCTATCATATATATAATGGTGGTATTCGTCTCATTATGTCCTGGGATAAGCATTTGGCTGAGCAACTTAACCATTTACAGTACTTACAATTCAAGAAGAATTCACTCAGGGTTGTGAGTGAATTGAGTGAGTGAGTGAGTGAGTGAGTGACTGAGGAGGACTGTAGACCACTTCACGAGGACCCAAACTGGCTCTAAGAGTGGACAGAAAAGTGGCTGCTAGATTTCAGTCTAGCAAGTGTTAGGTAATGATGATGGGGAAATGGAAATTTGAGGCAAGGGCGCCACAGCATGTGTGACACAGCTGCTATAGTTAGAGAAAACAAATTGTGAGGCCCGGGTCACTATCTGTACAAACTCAGGATTAGCACAATAATGGAATAGTGCCCTGGAGCCTTATGAGTGAGAGTGTGAGCACAAGGGAGCCGGTCGGCCGAGCGGACAGCACGCTGGACTTGTGATCCTGTGGTCCCGGGTTCGATCCCGGGCGCCGGCGAGAAACAATGGGCAGAGTTTCTTTCACCCCTATGCCCCTGTTACCTAGCAGTAAAATATCTCCTGGGTGTTAGTCAGCTGTCACGGGCTGCTTCCTGGGGGTGGAGGCCTGGTCGAGGACCGGGCCTCGGGGACACTAAAGCCCCGAAATCATCTCAAGATAACCTTATTATAAACAATTGAAATCTATCATACGCAACACGAAAACTAACAAACATCTACACAGTATAAGCCTGTGAATATTCATTAGGAGTGAGGCCATACTCGGCGCCAAGAGTCAGGGAGGCAAGAGGCCTGGACCGGGCTGTGGTGTTGGAGTGATACACACAACACCTCCAGGGCTTGTTGATAGGAATTATTAGGTCGATATTAACATTAACTTGCTTTGTTAAGTTTTGTTCGTCCTTGTTTCTTGTCCCCTGCTTCGGCCCGGGCCATGTGGTGGGTCCCCTTCCTCGACCAGGGCCATGTGGGGTCCCTCTTCCTCGGCCCGGGTTACGTGTGGTCCCCTGCCTCAGCCCGGGTCATGTGGTTCCCAGATTTTGGAGCGGGAGGTCCCCCACTCCAAGATTTTGACCCCCCCCCCCTCCCTTCAAGTGTATCTGACACATCTTTCCAAGCTGAACTGACACACCCTCCAAGGTAACCAGCTAAACACCTGTAAGTTAACCTAACACACCCTCTCCAAGCAAACCAACCACATCCGTCCAAGCTACACCAGCAACGCCCCCCTCCAAGTTATCCTGCCACACCTCTCCAAGTTTACGTGCAATACCCCTCAAAGCTTGCCTCCCACTCCCCTCCAAGCTTACACTGCCACACTCCTCAGAGCTTACACTGCCACACTCCTCCAAGCTTACACTGCCACACTCCTCCAAACTAGTCTGCCACATCCCTCCAACAAATATTCTGTTTTCTCCCGCGTTCCAAATATTAGTAATTAAAACTACACCACAAGCCATTGTCATGGAGTCAAGAATAAGACTCGTGTGATCTCTGTGGAGTTGTTAGTGAAAAGAAAAAGTAATTAGAAAGATAAAGGAAGAAAAGCAACGGGGAAAACTGAAAAGAAAAGGCATCTGAGAGACTGTTGTTTCAGACCTCATTCTTAATTGGGGAGGCAGGGAAGAACATATAATATAAAACAAGACATCATCATATATGCCATTCACTTGGTCTCTAGAAAACTCGAACCGCGGACCCCAGGTGTGTGAGGCCGAAGCTTTTTGTCATCATATACTATAATACAAAGAAGACCAGAGACCTCTTCATTAATAACAGCCCGAAGCCAACGGAGAACCCTTTACAACAGTCGAAAATATATGTACACCTGTCCCCTACGAAAGATGTTACCTTCAATCTAAGTACATAGGTATAACGTCGACCAAGCTCACTATGCCTGACTAATCATTGTATGTATTGATCCATGTCTCTTACCTTTACTCCTTACTCCTCACCTAATTGTATGTACCTGACCTCCCAACGGTATAAATCCAATATGTTCATCCGTTGTACTAGATGAACATATTGTGTACGAACTGAAATCCCGTGCTACTTGGAACTTGTTCCGAGTAGCTGAATCTATAACAACAACAACATCCGTTCGTAATATTACGGGCTCACCATAGCCCGTGCTACATGGACACTTCGTTCTGAGTAGCTAAATCTGAAACAACAACATCCGTTCGTGCCAACGACAGCAGCTGTATTAAATGCACATTCCACAGTGACTACAATTATTAGAAAAGCTGTTGAGGAATGAATGGGACTCACTAGTGAGCATTCTGCATCTACATCCGCCACCAAGATAATGTTATTAAAATAAGACTAAAACCAGTGCACTAAAATAGAAGCAAAAAAGAAACAGGGAAAACGGAGGAAGGAGTCCACCTGCGCTGCCGTTGAGTGAGGACGTGTCGCTTGTCCGCTCTGGCAGTTTGTGGTCGTTGCCGTTTTCGCCGGCAACGGGTGTGGGGGTGTTTACCCTCCCTGCTGTTCCTGGTGGTGGAGACGTGGCGTGTTTTGCGATGGGCGGCCCTATTCCCGCTGTCGTGCGGTTAAACTCCATCAGATTGGAGTTTACTGGCCGTGCTGGTTACCCACTGGTGGACGTGGTGTTGAGTGACATGCTTCGTGTCCCGGTTGGGGACGTATATGGCATTGAGCTGGTAACTGCTCACCGTGTTCTTATCAAGTTTGTGGGTGAGGCGGTGTACCGTGCTTTCTTACGGAGGTACGAGGGACGTACTTTGCAGTTACAGGACGGCACCGGGTCTGTGACCATTTCAGACCGTAGTGGTGCTGTTACGTATGTCAGTGTTCATGGTGCCCCCATGGAGTTTCCTGAGACTCTCCTCCGGCGATTCTTCCAGAGGTACGGCTCCGTCGTCAGTGTGCGGATGAACTCCCGGTCGTCTGGCACGTATTCGGGTGTGAAGACCAACATTCGGACCCTCGGGATGCGACTGAGGTCGGACATACCGTGCTCTGTCCGGCTGTTGGGGTACTACGTGCGTGTGTTTTATGCTCGGCAACCCCGTACTTGCTTCCGGTGTGGCTTGTTGGGGCATCAGGCTGCCGGGTGTACTGCAGATCCGGTCGCTCCTGTGAACTTGTTCCGTGAGGAGGATTTCCCGCCGCTCCCTCTGGAGGAGGACTCCGGGGGTGAGGAGGCGAGCGTCTCGTTCGCTGCTGCAGCTTCCCCGGCGGCGCCTGCCGTTCCTCCGGTTGTTGCCGTCCCTCCTCCGGTTCTTGAGGTACCGTCGGTTGGTCTGCCTGATCCTGTCGCTGTCCCAGCTGCTCCCGTAGGCCTTCCTGGAGCTCCCTGTGTGACTTCGCTGTCTTCTCCCTCGTCTTCTGATGCTGCGCCTGGCCCTGTGTCCGTGACTCGGGTCCCGGATGTGCTTGGTGCTGGGGTGGCTGTGGAGCCTCCTGCTGTGTGTGGCCCGGTTCCCCCTGTGGTAGAGGCTGCTGCCGTCCTGGCGTCGGTTCCTTCGGCTCGTGGTACCCGTGTTTCTGGGTCACTTACCGGCTCTGACGATATCCGGTCGGTGCCCAAACGTTCCCGGCGTTCGTCTTCTTCCTGGGCCGACGCTGGTGACTTCAGTGACTGTGGGGCTTCGGATGTTGACAGTGTGGATACGGATGCGTCGATGTCTCCGCGGTTCGTGGTGGCGGAGGTCCATGTGCCTGCCGGTGCTGGTGCCTGTGTCTCGGACGTGCCTTCGATTCTTTCTCCGCCGGGGGACTCTCCACAGTGGGGGGTGGTGGCTTCCGCTGCCAGGGATGGTGTGGACTCTGGTGCTGGGTGTGGCCTGGTGGTGACGTTACGGAAGGATGCGTGCCGTCCGGGTTCCCTGCTGTCGTCTGGTGGTGTGCCCGGGGCCGCGAGTACCCCTGTGGTGCGGGTGCGCGTTGGGGCCCTGGGGGACGTGTTGCCGGCGTCTGTGATGCCACCGGGTCACTGGTCGAAGATTGCCGAGTTACTGCTGTCTGACGGACCGGAGTGCTTTCGTGGGGGGCAAGTTCCCTTCCTGTGGGGGCGAGTAGCGACTTCTCGCCTCATGAGTTCTACCATCTGGGTCCCCAGTTTGCAGGTGTTTGTTGCCCCGGTTCCGGATGTTATGGAGTCCCCGGTGGATGGACGAGACCCTTGGCAATGGGTGCTCTGGGAGGCGTTCAATGTAAAATTTCCGCGGGCCAAGTTCCCGGGCAAGTATGTGCTCTTATTTCTTGTGTATTTGCTCTGACATGCTGTGTGCCCTTCTGGCTGTTTGTTTGCCCTGTTCTATTATGTGCTTCTGCCTCTTCCTTTGTGCGTAGCTTTGCCGTGTGGCATATTAGTTTCTAGTGCTTGACGTCACTCGTTTCGCGTTTTGGCTTAGCATTTCGCCTTTCCTGGCTTTGCGATTCACCCTTCACGGGTAAGCCGGGGCGCATCCGATCCCACGATCGTCGTCGCCCCTAACTCAACAACAACAACATATCAACGCCATCTAGATTGTGCATCCGATTACATTTCACAGTTCCCTGATGAATGGTTGTTATCCTATGTGGATGGAGAGGTGACGGAGAGTCAATTGTACTGTGAAAATCAGTTCACCTCGGGCAATCCCTAACTCCTTAGATGTTCCATTGAGAGGACACGTGGCCGCCATTGGCAGTAGACAGATTGTTAGTTGTTGTACTTGTGCAGTAAATGTGTGGACCGACGTACCCGGAATTTGGTCAAGAGGAGTTACATGACGACAGTATTGGCCGTCTGGTGAGAAGTGCTACTAGTGAGCAGACTTCTGCCCAGGTGTTATGATAACCCATATTATTTGAGCGTATTATTTGTTAAACCTGTCAGTGTTCCAGAAGCCCTCTGCCAGTGTGTTTCTGGCGTATACGAACATCGTGATTATACGGTGTTGGACTCTCCTACCTTGAGTAAGGTGAACTCTCCGATGATTACCATAGTGAACTACGTATATTTGAAGATGAACTCGCCGGGGTTTGAAGAACACTGCAGATACATCATGTCCTCTGTGAGACAGTGTAAATATAATATTGACAAAATATATTGAAGGTATTAGTCTTAACTCATTTTATTCCTTGCACAATTGCCTGCTACCACAAATTGATAATCTTACCATTTGACTTCTGTGGGATCATATACGAGGCTTTAAGGCCCCAAAACAGAAAGCCAGTTACTGGCTCGAGCAGGCTGTAACAAATACATTCTAAGTTAACTTATTCTTTTATTAAACCTCGAACAAATACAATATTTGGAGAAACATCTTCCAATAAAATCTAGATACAGGATTACTAGTCAAAGGGATAAGACCTAAATAAGAAAATATACACAATGTGCAGTATGTCTCTCATTTACACAAATACATATCACTGTTCTTCTTGAAGCACTTGTGATTCAACAACAAGCTACTAACTATATCAGGCACTTTACATCTATGGTGAGTAAGCAGTTACTAGTCTTGCTCCATACCCACCCAACAGGACGGCAGCTTTAGTCATGTGCAAGCTGCATCTACAGTAAGCAAATTTTGGATACTTCAAGATTTCTGGCAGTACATAATTATGAATGAAGTACTTGCACATTTCTTGGACTCAGTTGATGGTGTTCTCTGAATTCTGCAACTTTTTTCATTCCATTATATAATGACGCAAAGTATGCGAAGAGTTCTGCTGACAGAGTTTACATTTAGTCAAATCTACATCAGCAGATGTTAACTCCCAGAAGAACTTGTAGCAGAGCCTAAGGCTAGCAGTGGTAACGTCTAGAAGTCTGCTAACCTTATTGGATGACCCATAGACGTATTGGTTCTATGGCATAGAATGATAGATGTAGTAAATGGTGTGAATCTAACTTTGTCTTAAGTCTACAAAATCTAGTTCATGTTCCTAGAATACTACTGCCCTCAGGCTGCTCAAAGGCGAAGATGGTAATCAATTCCCTCTTTGACCAAAGGTTTTGGGTACTCGTCAGTTTTATCAAGCATTCGGAGACCAATATGGGAAGGAATCTACAAGAGACAAACTAACTTTGATTATTTCATTGTCTAGCTTCAGACACAAGCAAGTCACAGCGCCTTAGGGAGCTGAGGGCAGTCGAGGATGACGAGGAGTCGCTTACAATTGGCGTGTCAACGTTAGTCGTATATGTCTGTTTATTTTATGTTGAACTGTATGGTACCCGGTGGTGCCTGGGTCAATTTATCGTTGCATGATTAGTGATGGAAGTCCTACAATGCAAGTATGCTATCGGAACAAAAGTGTGGTTTTCCCCATGAAAATGGAATACTTTTTAACAATATTAGAAAGAAAACCATTTTGTTTTAATTTTTATTGTTCACCATAGTAGTTACAGGGAAAAAACGTGTGCAATGCAGGGGTTAATACTAGGGATGTGGTGCAGCTGTCTAGGGTAGCGGTGGCAACCTTAAGTAATGTAGTTGAGTTGGTCATTGGTCATTTTCATCTACACCATGGTAGTCTGGGTATATACTGAGAGGGGTTAAGTTACTAACTTGATAAATGAGCAAGGAAAGTGAAAGAATGTTTGAGTAAAGCTATGACCTTCTTCATGATGTTTTTAGAAGTTTCCTGGGAATTATATTGGAAACGAAAAGGGACACAGCAATAGACGTATCACCCTAAAGTTATATTACGCAGATAGGAGTGTTTGAAATAAAAATTAATAAGTTAAGTACACTTGCATGCAAATAATCTATTAAATCGTAGAAACCTGGATGAATGTGAAATTAAAAAACTGTTAATTAACTGAACACCAAATTATGAATGTAAAGTTGTCTCAATAGATAATTACATAAGGAAATAGTCAATTGTCCTCAAGAAGTTTTAAATGAAGTAACAAGGAATCAAAAGCAGCAGAACTCTGGCCTGAAATGAATGAAGCTGATGATAGGCTAATAGAAGACACATGTGAAAAAATAACTAATTGACATGACACTTGGTAACCCTCCATTACTCAGGCATCATACCCGCCTCTTTTTAATTGATTATTAAGTATACTTAATACAGGTTTTCTGAGTTCATCTCTGCACTTTTGTTTAGGATTCTGGAAAAACACTATCAGAATCTGGAGTTTTTAAAGACTTGATCTTTTCTGTTAACTATTTCCTGAGGTACCCTTAGATTTGTAAGTTTATTTTCCTCATTACCTCTGTTCTTGTTTTATGTAATTGGCAGAGTTCTCTTTAATTTTTTATTGATACACTTTTAAAAACCTTCAGAGCTAAACCTGTCTTTCGTTGACACCTTCACCCTTAGTGATCAAATTATAATATAACATGGTAGAAATATACTCACGGAGAACTTATAAGCATCGGTTGGATGAGAACCTGAGGAATATAAATATTATCTGCCTCGTATTTACCAATAAACCTTCTGCAAGTTTCATAATTTCATGTAATTATTTTCCCGTTACTTCCCTCTCCAGGCAGCAACACCGACATGACCAACTACAACAAGAGTGCGGACGTGGTGGCCATGGATATCAACGCGCCGGAACACATGGTGTCTTTCGGCAAAAAGGGCGGCTGCTACATCAGCCGGACTGTGGGCTGGCTGCTGGTCGTCACGTTCGTGAGCGCTGTCGCGGCCACGGGGCTCCTAGTCTACTTCTACGCTCCCCATCCTAAAATTATCGAGACCCCGGTGGAAGGATATCAGGTAAGTGGCTCGTTTTGTTGTCTCTAATGTGAGGATGAGCTGCAGGTGGTGACTGCGGAAGGCAATGGAATAATTGGGTAGGCTCTGTGGTTGAGTGAGGGGGATTATGGGCTGTGGAATAAGTTTGTGTGTCAAGGGTATATAGGAGAGGGGAAGATTTTAGGAGGAGGATGGGTGGTGCTGTCTTTGAAGGCAAGTGTTAAAGCTGGAGGAACTGTTTATTCTCACCGAGGACCCCGCTTTTCCAGCCCCAGACAGTCCAGAATTTCACCTCCCCATCCCTCTACCTCCCCCATCCTTTCTAAACCTTTTAGATATCAAAGCGAAAGTTCCTGTCATTGGCTTCCCATCCTTCACTTCACCACCCATCTTATCCTACTCCCTCAGCTGTTCCGAGACACTCATGCAACTACAAGGGGTTCAGATGGCTAGTTGACGCGCACTATTTCCTATAACTAACCAGGTGGTCTAGCTTTGTTGTGAGATGTCTTGAAGCTTCCTACCTGTGTAAAAAGCTATAGGTTGGCAACTGAAAAAAATGGCGATGGCGGCTTCTAGTGGTGGCAGCCGCCTGTAGGAGGGAGGAAAGGGGGGGGGGGGTTGGCCTGGAGCGGTGGTCGGGGGATTGGGAGCGATGCAGCGACTTATAGCGAGCTGTACGAGCGCGCCCGGGCAGAGCAGTAAATGTATTCAGATCCAGTGAATCACCCTTTGTCACAATCCACTTAAGGGGGTGAGGGAGTCTTTTTACGGCTGGTTAATACATGAGGTACATCTGCTTTAGTGCAGCTACCCTAGACTATATGAAGTGGAGTACAGTGTGTCAAAAAGCTAACTAGGTGATGCTAAAAAATCCCGATCACACAGGATGGTTAGTCATACAGAGGCATGTGATGGGCAGTCTGCACTAGCAGACTCCAGAAGCATTTTGAGGATATCATCAACACAAGATTGAATAAGGTAGCAGTGGTAATAAAAGTCCCCATCTCGCAGGATGGTTAGTCATACAGGGCCAAACGTTTAGTAGCCTGCACTGGCAAATTTTGGGTACGCTGTGGGGATATCTTCAAGAATACGAGAATGAATAAAGTAATTGCAAAGCTCCAGGTACCTCATGCCAACTGGTCTGAAAGGTCTAATAACTGGGCATTCAGTGATGTAGTGCGGGAGATCGTGCCATAGTTCCTGCTCACAGAGTTTGCAACTGGAGTGCTCAGGATTGGGAGATCCGTCACCTGCAGCCACCTGCCACAGGTAACGGTAACCCAACCTGATCCTTGCAACCACCGTGTCGCACAGTCTAGTGGACGTTTTGTGCTGCCCATAGATATAGGTTTCAGATCTGAACAGATCATAGCTTTTTATACTAGTACTTTCAGGTCGTTGGGAGTCAGTAATTTCTTACCTATCAGATCTGAGTGTTTGGACCAATACAGTTTTGACAGCAGAGATGGGGATACCTAGATCTAATTCAACTTCATCCTTGTTAGACGCTAATTTGGCTGTAATGTCTGTCTCATTATGATGGGTTATATTTATGTGTGAGGGTATCCATACAAAGGAGATTCGAGAGGTTCTTGCTGTCGATCTTCCAAGAGAAATTTTCGATTGCTTGAAGAGCAGACTTTGAATCATAAAATATTATTTCTCCCCCAATGTTTTTTAATGTACTGGTAGCTAGGTGTAATGCTGCTAGTTCTGCTTGTGTTGAGGTCAGCCAGTTGTTTAACCTGACACTGACAGTCTTTGTGCAAATATTATTTCTATAAAACGTACATGCTGCTGCAGTCTGTCCAGTAGAGGATTGGACTGAGCCGTCGGTGTAGACACAGTGCTCGTGAGATCTTAAATTCTCGATGGAGGAGGCAATTGTTTCAAGTGTGACAGCTTTGAGAAGAGCAAGATTCTCATTATCTTTCTTGGTGACAGGTGTGTATGATACTTGAATGGTGGGGTACAGATAGAGAGGAATATCAGAGACAGGTAGATTGCACTTAAAAGGAATGTTAAGTTTAATGAGATTGTAGGCATTGTTGCTCAGCCATTTATCATAAAAGGAGTGAGTTGGTATGTCGGCACCAGTCAATAGGGTGTTAACAGCACTAAATAATTTGTCTCTGAGCAATGCAGGAGATGTAGGGTCTCTCATGACTTTAAGGCAAAAGGTAGTGGATGGGAAGATGGGATGACTGCCCAGAGGAGGTTAACCCACTGCTACCATTTGCCTACACCTGTGCTGATAACTTTTTGCCTCCTGCCGTCTTTTCTTGAATGTTTGTTGTTTATATTTGTCTTGAACTTTTCAATAACCACATTCTGATAGCTACAACTACCATTAAGATATATTTAAGGTTCCACGTGTATTGAGAGACATTCACATTAGCTTATTGAACCACAGCAGGTTTCCTCTCTTCTCTTAACATCTTATCCGGTGTCTTAATTCAATTTCATCTATTGCCAATTCAGCATCCAGGCAATTCAATTCAAATTCAAGCCTTTCAAATTTTAATCTTTTCTGCTTCACTGTCATTTCCTCTTCTCTAAAGCAAAGAGCATTCAAGACTCAAGACAAATTCGTTTATTTGAACAGAACTCTAGAGTCACTCCAGTAAGGACCACCGCTGCAACCACAACAACCACCACCACAGCAGCGTCCACCACCACCACAGCAGCGTCCACCACCACCACAGCTGCTCCCACTACATCCACCTCTATGACCACCACCAGTGCTGCCATAACTACCAACAGTCCTGACATTATCACCACCTTAGATGCCAGAACCACCATTAGTGCCGCCAGTACCACCACTGAAGATGCCAGCGCCACCACCGCTAGTGCCGTCAGTACCACGGTCACTGCTGCCAGTGCCACCACCACCGAAGATGCCAATGCCACTAGTGAAGATGTCAGTGCCACTGAAGATGCCAGTGCCACTGAAGATGCCAGTGCCACTGAAGATGCCAGTGCCACTGAAGATGCCAGTGCCACTGAAGATGTCAGTGCCACTGAAGATGCCAGTGCCACTGAAGATGCCAGTGCCACCACCACTGAAGATGCCAGTGCCACCACCACCACCGCTTCTATCAATACCACCTCCTCTCATGCCAGTACCGCCATTACCACCACTTTTCAAACCAGTACCATTGCTAGTGCAGTCAGTACCACGGACACTGCTCCCAGTAGCACCGCCGGGGGAATTTTGACCACCATCACCACAACTGTACCTTCTATCATAGCAGCCCCTGAGAAGGAAAAGATAGACGCCCGTCTTCCCAGAGCCCTGAAGCCCCTCCACTACCTGGTCAAGCTTCAACCTTTCATCAACGGCAACTTCAGCATCCTGGGCTACGTGGAGGTGGAGATGGAGGTGCTGGAGCCCACCCTCAACATCACTCTCCACATCGCCGACATCATCACCAAGAATGACACTATCACGGTGAGATTTTCCACTCTCATTTCCAACTCTTTAGTATTCTAGATGTGATTTTGTTTATGTTCATAGTTAACGTTAAAATAATGAAAACTTGTAAATATTTATAACGTAATATTGCCTTGTATAAATAGGCGATCTTGAACATCTCCAGTATGTCGTTTATTGTAATATATTAGCACGCAAAAGGAAATTTAAAAAAGAAATTCAGTTGAACAGAGAATTTCCGACATCCATGTACATCATAATTATAAGTTTTTTTTTATTCTGGTGACCCCACCCAGCCTATGTTCATCCTGTACCCCCAGCCGATTCCATCAGTCATTTTGGGAGAGGCTAGCCATTAGCATCTAGCCTCCAACTTTGAAGTCAGACAAGCAAATAGACACATTCTCTCTAACAGTATAGATATGTATGCAAGAGTATGACTTTTGAGTGTGGGAAGTTAAGCCTTATAGAGCTTTCATTACTTGGAGTATCTTTTCTAAGGCAAAATTAGAGAACGGGAACAATAGCAAGAAAAATACAACACCAAGAATAAGAGTTTGAACTGAGGGAAGTTTGGGAGCAGAGATGTCAAAGAATAAAATGTAGAAAAGTATGTAAAGAACAGCAACCTGACAGGAACCTGGGATTAAGGTGTAGAACGCAGGAAGGAGAGGTAAAATATAAGTAAAATAATTATAGAATAATAACTGGAAGAAAAAATGTTAAAACAGGATAGTCCAAATATGCCTCGAGTAACATAATTAAATTTAATGAGAAGAAGATTATCAAAGTCATCCATGTAAAGCAGCAGTAAGAGTGTTGGGGAAATTGGAACTACACAGAACATGAAACATATTTCTTTTTATGGACAAACTATAATATTTCAGCCCTCTAATTATGTGGCCAAGAAAAAATATATTTCAAAAGACAAGTGATGAAGGGGGGGGGGGCCAATTGTGAGCAAAAAAGTTGTGGTAACTTTTAATACCTACAACAGTAGCCCAGTAATGCAGGGCAGAGAAATACACATGTTATTTTCGGAATTTGAAGATTGTGGTACTGTGAAGGGATTGTTGTCATCAGTACCGATTTACCTCATCATTCAGACCAGGGTGTAGATGTTGTTGCGGTTGACCCAACAAACAATAAGTCGCTGTGTTGTATCATTTGCAATTGTTTCTTCAGAAGCTGTATCTGTATAACTTATTATTTTTTTCCTCCTTACCCAACAGCTGAGAGACAAAGAAGATAAAGACGGTCTTGATTTAGTGATTAAGAAGCACGAGTATGACCCTAAGCGAGAGTTCTACCTGGCGCACCTGGAGGAGGCGCTGCAGCAGGGTCACAAGTATGTACTCTCCATGGAGTTCACCGGCCTCCTCAATGACAAACTCCATGGTTTCTACAGATCCAGCTACAGAGACGCTCAGGGCAAAGAGAAGTGAGTTCCTTTACATGCTGTAAAACTGTTGATACAGTTTTGCATCACTGCGCTCAGACGTGGATGATATTTAGTTATTAAACTCTTTATTGATTTTCAAAACAATGAAAATCTCTACAAAATTTAAAAGTTTTACAAATTAATAACCAAACATTTGAGATTTACAGTAAAAACGACGACAGTGAAAAATATTATTTCATTTATAAAAGATATTTATATTAATCGTCAGGTGGTTGGCGGTGACGCAGTTCCAGGCGACGGACGCGCGACGAGCCTTCCCGTGCTTCGACGAGCCGGGACTGAAGGCCAGATTCGAAGTGCACCTCGCCAGGGAGGAGAACATGACCTCCATCTCCAACATGCCCATCAACTCCACCTTCCCAGTGTACGTCAACCCTCCGTCAGGAGCCCACGGTGGTCGTGGAGTCTGTTACTAGTGCTCAGTTACTTTATTATTATGTACAATAATGTGGAACATATGAACACTGTTCATGATGATGATAGAAGATGGGGACAAGTTGTTCAGTATAACTTCACCAGGAGGTAAAGGTGGCATGTCTTGTGTTGCAGGGAGGGTCAGGAGGGGTGGGTCTGGGACCACTACCAGACCACCGTACCCATGTCCACCTACCTCGTCGCCTTCGTCGTGTCAGACTTCGCTTACTTGAATTCCACCGATATTGACAGCACTTTATTCAGAGGTTTTTATTGTTTTCTTTCTATATATAATATGCAACTGACGATCACGAAACACTGATCATTTATATGCGGAAAATCCACAGAGAAATGGGGATGAACGTTTCGGTCTATCAAAGCCGTTGTCAACACAGTCTTTGTGTAATCACAATATTAATTGGGATGGAGCGAAAAGCATTACCAATTGCAGTAGTTCCGTGGAACGGAATTGATTGAGTCTGCCCTAATCAGTGTCTAAATCTTCTCAATGTTAGTACTGGTATATACAAACTTGACCCATTTTTAAGTTATAATATTGCACAACAGTTTAAGAAAAAACTCTGATAGGGGGATACTATGTCTCATTACATTATTATAATCATATATTATGTGTTTGTTCAATGAGGCTTTTTGTTTAATCTTTCATACTTATTGTCCTGACCGCTTAATCCTTCTGACTATTCTAAGCTAATCTATACCTGTTTCTGGGTAAATCTTTCCCTGGGGATGGGTGGTCAGGTCCCAGTTGCAGGTTTCCACCCTCCCTTTGTTTCTCTTAGTCAGTCTGGTGTTGACAACGGCTTTGATCATCCGATACGTTCAACTCCCTTTCCCATTTCTCTGTAAATTTTCCGCATATATAAATATTGATGTTTTTTTTTCATGTATACTAGCTAAGCATGGCCGAACTGGTAAAAGAGCTAGTCCACATTGTTTTACATATATTTCCTTGCGGCCCTTTTCGTCTTACATATGCAGAAAGATGTAATATTGCATTGAAAAGTGAGACTGATGATTCTTTAATCTTCATGACCTGTGGCCACACAGTGTGGGCTCGAGAGGAGGCCGTGCAGCAGGCGGAGTACGCAATGAACATCGGACCTGCCATCCTCACCCACTTCGAGGACTACTTCAACCAGTCCTACCCACTCCCCAAGCAGGACATGATCGCCATCCCGGACTTCGCTGCTGGAGCCATGGAGAACTGGGGACTCATTACCTACAGGTGAGGACCAGGAAAGCTTGGTTACAGTGTATGGGGACCTGGAGTTCACGTAACCTCTGGGTAACAAAATCGTTTAAGAGCTTAGCCATCATTGTAGTTGTTAATTTGTGGTGGTGTTGAGATACCTGGCGAGCGCCTATGCTTATTGGCTTGAAATTGTCAATGCTTACACATGTGGACTAGAGGAAGGTCCTTACAATAACCTCTGGCGGTAGGTTTAGAACAATGTTAACATAGTCGAGAGAGACCGTAAACGCAACCCTTTCTCCGAATAGACAGTACGTTTTAATACTAAATGTAATAAGTACATTCCTGACTGTCTGCATAGTATATACATACACTTACCAACCAATATTCTCCTCATTTTCCGTTAATACACTAAAGAATTCTAAGTTAAAGTTTTCGTGTTTAAATCTATATATTAAAGTTTTAAATATAAAAAATGTATTTTTTAGTTTTATTAAATAATGGAGACTTTATACAAAATTTAAAAATATCCTGAGTTACTCCATAATTTATTGAGACTTTAGTTTTGTTTTATTAGTTTTATAAAATTGTTTTAAGGTTATTGTTTTGATATCATTGAGTAAACCAAATTTTGATACGGTTACTTGCAAAAATATTATTGAATGTGTTCTAATAATTATAAACAAAACCATGATTTTATTAATGTAATAACAATATTTACCACATAATACAAAAATTCCGACTTTTTGTTTGTGACTTTGTAAAGAATGTCTGTGTGTACTGTATGAAAATTTAGTAAAAATTGTATCAGAACTAAAAGATGGTAAAGTTAAAGCTGAAAATGGTGATTTGTAATTTATATTTTTATGTTGAAAGTTTTTCTCATTAATCCTTAACAATATCACTTTTAATTATAGAACTTTCTTTGTATATCTTTTCCGGTAACTTGCATTTAATTAAATTAATGTTTTATTTTCAAAGAAAAATTAGTTGGCAAATTTCCCGTTGTCCCATTTTTGTTGCGCTGTCATCGGCGACTTAAACATTTAGAGTAAGTGCTTGGGTATCCAATTCCTTCAAAAACAATTCTACATATTCGTAGAAACCTAGGCTTTCTTGGGGCATAACAATACATATTTACAAACTTTGAAAATCCTGATTGTGTCCTCTAATACATCTATGTAACACATAAAATTTCCATGTAACATATGCACCCAACACCTGAAGTTAAAGCACACCAGTCAAATACACCATCACATTCACCCAACACTTAACAATTTAGTGCCTTATCTAATGCTTGAGTCACTCCTGTAGGGAAACAGCGATGCTGTTCGATCCTGAACTGTCTGCTCCCACCGACCAGTACCGAGTGGCCCTGGTGGTGGCCCACGAGCTGGCCCACCAGTGGTTCGGTAATCTGGTCACGCCTAGGTGGTGGACCGACATCTGGCTCAACGAAGGCTTCGCTGCCTTCGTCCAGTACATCGGCATGGACTATGTGAGTTAAGTTTATGAGTGAGGTGCTGCGGAGTACATTTTAGCGCCTCCTTTATTTAACTAAATGTTTCCATGTATGAAAATGTCACAATCATGCTGATTTTTTTTAACGATTCAGCTCACCTTTTGGGGCCAAGTGAGCCCCAAAGAGTAAGGTGATTCGATGAAATATCTGTGCCCAAGTTGACCACCGAGTGCTGTCGGATGTTGGATAAATAGTCTCACGACTACCAACATTTTTGTACAGTCAGTGTGGTCTAGTGGTTAAAGTATCAGATAGGGTTCGAATCCTTTTGGGGTGTGGAGTTTTTGGTTGCATATTGGCTTGGGGACCATTCAAGCTTGTTTGCATATATATACATATATTTTTTTTGTTACAGGTTGAACCCACATGGAAAGTGAAAGAACTGTTTGTGGCTGACAAGCTTCAGAATGTGTTTACCATGGACAGCCTTGAGTCGTCACATCAGATTAGCATCCCAGTAGGTCATCCCAATGAGATCGGGCAGATCTTTGACAGCATCTCTTATGACAAAGGTGAGATGTCCTTAACGGGTTAGCGTTTGTGAGGTTCGTGTGATTTTTTCTCTCACACGTGCTTAATAATTTTATACAGTTTGTGTTATTGCTTAATTTGAGTTACTTGAGGAGAGCTGATACTTTTTATGTTAATTATACTAATTTTAAATTATAAGTTTAAATAAACCAGATACACTGTATGGTGTTGGTTAAATACAATAAACTTTAATAACTAACCGTTTTAAGGTACACTAACAATATTCTAATTGACATCTGGTAACCCTGATCTTAAAACTGAGGTGACGATATTTACTGCTGATTGCTCTGTTTCTAGAGGATCCTTGATGGCTGACTGATGTAATAGGTGCGTTTTGTTACATCAGTGACCTCTAGATGATTTCTAATTATTTTGACATTATTTATTTGATTTTACAGTTGAATTTTATTTATCCCGTGTGTATGTGTGTGTACTCACCTATTTGTACTCATCTATTTGTGCTTGCGGGGGTTGAGCTCTGACTCTTTGGTCCCGCCTCTCAACTGTCAATCAACTGGTGTACAGGATCATGAGCCTACTGGGCTCTATCATATCTACACTTGAAACTGTGTATGGAGTTAGCCTACACCACATCACTGCCTAATGCATTCCACCCGTTAACTACTGACACTGAAAAAGTTCTTTCTAACGTCCCTGTGGCTCATTTGGGTACTCAGTCTCCACCCGTGTCCCCTTGTTCGCGTACCACCCGTGTTAAAAAGTTTTCCTTATCTACCCTGTCAATTCCTCTGAAAATTTTGTAGGTAGTGATCATGTCTCCTCTTACTTTTCTGTCTTCATGTGTCGTGAGGTGCATTTCACGCAGCCTTTCCTCGTAACTCATGCCTCTTAGTTCTGGGACTAGCCTAATGACATACCTCTGAACTTTTTCCAGCTTCGTCTTGTGTTTAACAAGGTACGGGCTCCATGCTGGGGCCCCATACTCCAGGATTGGTATGAAATATCTGTGCCCAAGTTGACCACCGAGCGCTGCCGGATGTTGGATAGTCTCACGACGTGTACTCACCTAATTGTGCTTGCGGAGGTTGAGCTCTGGCTCTTTGGTCACGCCTCTCAACCGTCAGTCAACAGGTGTACAGGTTCCTGAGCCTATTGGGCTCTATCATATCTACACTTGAACCTGTGTATGGAGTCAGCCTCCACCACATCACTTCATAATGCATTCCATTTGTCAACCACTCTGACACTAAAAAAGTTCTTTCTAATATCTCTGTGGCTCATTTGGGCACTCAGTTTCCACCTGTGTCCCCTAGTGCGTGTGCCCCTTGTGATAAATAGCCTGTCTTTATCAACCCTGTCGATTCCCTTGAGAGTCTTGAATGTGGTGATCATGTCCCCCTAACTCTTCTGTCTTCCAACGAAGTGAGGTTTAATTCCTGTAGTCTCTCCTCGTAGCTCATACCTCTCAGCTCGGGTACTAGTCTGGTGGCAAACCTTTGAACCTTTTCCAGTTTAGTCTTATGCTTGACTACATATGGACTCCATGCTGGAGCCGCATACTCCAGGATTGGTCTGACATATGTGGTATATAATGTTCTGGAAGATTCCTTACGCAAGTTTCTAAAGGCCGTTCTTATGTTAGCCAACCTGGATATTCAGATAACCAAAATACTCTTGATACTTTAAACAGGAATACTATTGAATACAATTTGAATGAAGACTTGAATTTCTCTAAATTACTGAATTCTGTAAAATAATTCATTATACGTTGCTTAAGACAAAGACGCCAGCCATTTTGTGATCTCAACTGCTAATCCCAGGGGAGATACTCCGTGACGTCGGGTCAGGTCAACTACAACTTGACTCTAACTTTTGTACAAAGGCGTATCCCACTGCCTCCCATACAATTACTTATTTTAAAACTGCTTCAGTTGTTACAATGTTATCCTCTTGATATCAACTTCAGCGGACAGGTCTGGCGTAATATCAACCCCCAGGTCTTTCTCTCTCTCTGAATCTTGAAGTATTTTATCTCCAAAATGATACCTTGTATCTGGCCTACTGCTTCCTACCCCCTATCTTCATTACATAGGTGTGTGTGTGTGTTGGATGGATGGATGGATGAATGATAAGGGGGAAGGGCGAGGTGGTATGAAAGTACAAAATGAAAACTTTATATTAATCAAGTGATGTCGCTTTTCCTGGTAGGAATAAATCTGTATTGTGAAAAAGAGGGAATGATATCTTAATCACCAATAAAAATACAAAAAATAAGAAACATGAATGATTTGTCTATAATGGTGATTAAAAACTTCTCACAGGGGCGTCCATCATCCGCATGATGAACCACTTCCTGACGGAGGACACCCTGAGGAAGGGCCTGAGTAAATACCTTAATGACTTGTAAGTAATGCGCTATTGATCTGTCTACGATTTCTTTGGCTTTAATGATCCTTCTAGTTAATTTCCTTTTGTTCAGTAATACGTAGCCTGTGATGTTTTCCTTGTCTACATTGTCTCTTGTAAAGAGGTAACCAAATGGGTTTTTGTGCCGGGGTGAAGTTATGTTTGGTCTTGTTGAGCAGCAAGTATGGGAACGCCGAGCAGGACGACCTTTGGGAGCACCTGACGGAGGCAGCCCATCAGGACGGTACACTGCCCCTTCACCTCACTGTCAAGACCATCATGGACACCTGGACGCTGCAGATGGGTTACCCCGTCATCATGGTTGACAGGAGCCCGGACGGTACTTCCGCTACTGTCTCCCAGGTGAGGGTCGGTACTTCAGCTACTGTCTCCTAGGTGAGGTGATGAGGAACGGTACTTTCGCTACTGTCTTTAGGGTGAGGTTGCAACATAGGACATGAAGTGAATATGAAACCCGGATTGAACGTTAATGATAAAATTGAATTCCAACTTGATATACACAAATATAATACTTTCAGCTACACTCGTCGTCCTTAAACTACCTAGGTCAGTGAAAATCAAACTCACACTTCTTCAATCCTCAGTGCCCAGTAAAGTTGAATCCTAACTTAAACATTATATATATATATATATATATATATATATATATATATATATATATATATATATATATATCTTTAGAACACTTTCCCACCAGGAGACTCGAACCCTAGCCAGCACAGAAGCCTTCCAGCAACTGGCATAACAGGTACGCCTTAACCCGCTCCACCACCCGCTCAGACCCTTAAAAGAGATGGTAATTTCGGAGTATTTAAATACACCAAAGATCACCACCTCCCAAGAGCACTAGAGCAAGTGAGGGGTCATTTAGACGTTAATTTCATCAAGTCCCTGTTAATATGGGAAGACACAGTGTCTATGCTTAAGGCACAACTCTCCTAAACACGAGAGTTAAGTATACAACTTTAGAACACTTTCCCACCAGGAGACTCGAACCCTAGGCAGCACAGAAGCCTTCCAGCAACTGGCATAACAGGTACTCCTTAACCCGCTCCACCACCCGCTCAGACCCTTAAAAGAGATGGTAATTTCGGAGTATTTAAATACTCCGAAATTACCATCTCTTTTAAGGGTCTGAGCGGAGTATTTAAATACTCCGAAATTACCATCTCTTTTAAGGGTCTGAGCGGGTGGTGGAGCGGGTTAAGGCGTACCTGTTATGCCAGTTGCTGGAAGGCTTCTGTGCTGGCTAGGGTTCGAGTCTCCTGGTGGGAAAGTGTTCTAAAGTTGTATACTTAACTCTTGTGTTTAGGAGAGTTGTGCCTTAAGCATAGACACTGTGTCTTCCCATATTAACAGGGACTTGATGAAATTAACGTCTAAATGACCCCTCACTTGCTCTAGTGCTCTTGGGAGGTGGTGATCTTTGGTGTATTTAAATACTCCGAAATTACCATCTCTTTTAAGGGTCTGAGCGGGTGGTGGAGCGGGTTAAGGCGTACCTGTTATGCCAGTTGCTGGAAGGCTTCTGTGCTGGCTAGGGTTCGAGTCTCCTGGTCGGAAAGTGTTCTAAAGTTGTATACTTAACTCTCGTGTTTAGGAGAGTTGTGCCTTAAGCATAGACACTGTGTCTTCCCATATTAACAGGGACTTGATGAAATTAATGTCTAAATGACCCCTCACTTGCTCTAGTGCTCTTGGGAGGTGGTGATCTTTGGTGTATTTAAATACTCCGAAATTACCATCTCTTTTAAGGGTCTGAGCGGGTGGTGGAGCGGGTTAGGGCGTACCTGTTATGCCAGTTGCTGGAAGGCTTCTGTGCTGGCTAGGGTTCCAGTCTCCTGGTGGGAAAGTGTTCTAAAGTTGTATACTTAACTCTCGTGTTTAGGAGAGTTGTGCCTTAAGCATAGACACTGTCTTCCCATATTAACAGGGACTTGATGAAATTAACGTCTAAATGACCCCTCACTTGCTCTAGTGCTCTTGGGAGGTGGTGATCTTTGGTGTATTTAAATACTCCGAAATTACCATCTCTTTTAAGGGTCTGAGCGGGTGGTGGAGCGGGTTAAGGCGTACCTGTTATGCTAGTTGCTGGAAGGCTTCTGTGCTGGCTAGGGTTCGAGTCTCCTGGTGGGAAAGTGTTCTAAAGTTGTATACTTAACTCTCGTGTTTAGGAGAGTTGTGCCTTAAGCATAGACACTGTGTCTTCCCATATTAACAGGGACTTGATGAAATTAACGTCTAAATGACCCCTCACTTGCTCTAGTGCTCTTGGGAGGTGGTGATCTTTGGTGTATTTAAATACTCCGAAATTACCATCTCTTTTAAGGGTCTGAGCGGGTGGTGGAGCGGGTTAAGGCGTACCTGTTATGCCAGTTGCTGGAAGGCTTCTGTGCTGGCTAGGGTTCGAGTCTCCTGGTGGGAAAGTGTTATAAAGTTGTATACTTAACTCTCGTGTTTAGGAGAGTTGTGCCTTATATATATATATATATATATATATATATATATATATATATATATATATATATATATATATATATATATATATATATATATATATATATATATATATATATATATATATATATATATATATATATATATATATATATATATATATAATATATATATATATATATAATATATAAAACAAAAAGATATGAAATGTAGAATTATGTAGAATTTCGCAACATAAATACTCTGCAAGACACGGTCAATTGTCTAATGCTTTGTTCATTTGTCAGAAAATTCTCACCAAATTGATTGGGAGATTTCTTCTCCAATAACGAATTGTTATTGACTATATTATATTATATTAAGCTGGTGAGGGACTGTACCGCCACAGCAGTCTCTCAGGTGAGGGGGACCAAGTGGGATCAAGGAGAGGGAAACTACGACCTTTACTACTGTCTCTCAAGGAGAGAAACCTGGACTTTACTTCCATTAATACTGTCACTCCTTATTCCCTACGGTTGCAAAATTCTAATCTACTATACAGTAACATACAACGTGAATAAAATAGTCATTCTCTTAGATGGGTTCATGTTTTTGTACTTTTTAACTCTGCTTAACCCAGCAGTATACTGTAGGTGATGTCTTTGTTATCTTAACCCAGGAGTATAGGTGTTTGTTAGTTACCTTGAAAATTTTGTTGATATAGATTAGTCCTTATATTTGTCATCATTATTATCATACTTACTAAAATCTAAGATTTTATGATAAATAAATTATTGCTTTCACCTACTTTTCAGTCGCCTAAGAATAATATTAAACAATATAAAAGGTAACGTATATTTCTCGCAGGAGCGTTTCTTGATGGCAGGAAAGGCCGATTCTACGGACACCCACGTCTACAAGTGGTGGGTGCCGTTGACCTACACAGGTGGCGACGACCCCAACTTCAACAATACAGAGGTCAAGGTGTGGATGAAGGAGTCCGAGACACACATCACCATCCCGTCCCTGCCCAACAAGGACCATTGGGTCATCTTTAACCTGCGGGAGACGGGTTATTACAGAGTTAACTACGACCACAACAACTGGAATCTGCTCATCCTGCAGCTATTCAGCGACTACCAGGCCATCCACACCGTCAACAGAGCACAGATCATCGATGATGTCATGGACCTCGCCAGAGCAGGTTCGTATCTTTGACATAACCGTGTTCATGTTGTCGTTTTTGTTCAGTTAAGGTAGTCGGAAGACGTCTCATGATAATTCTTGTCAAATTGAGTGGAGAAAAGATGCAATGAGACGATTGATATATTTGCACTTATCCATTGAACTGCCCTCACTTTTTGTTTGTCATTCATTTAAATATTAAGGTTGCTTACTTCCGAAACTACACAGTAACGATAAATTATGTTGTTATAAACGATTTGCTAAGGGATCTTCCTTTAGGAAGACTCCAAAGTCGTGCTTCGGCACAGTGCTGCCAAACACAGACCTGTTGAATGGCAGATGAAGTGACCGTTTTCTTGTTTTTGTGTTGTGCTCAGTTCCGGCTGGTGCGATAGTTAGTCTTGGACCTTTAACTGGGTTTTCACTGCAGAGTCGTATTATGTGAACTTTTCTATTCTTCCTGTGACTGCGTCCACCCCCTCACATGATGTTGTTTGGCGGGCTTAGGAGTACTAGAGCACTAGAAGCCACAAACGCAGTACTCACAGTTTTGCCGATGCATTCACTCACACTCGCAGCATCTCCACACACATCACATAGCGACTTGTGAGCCAGGATATTTAGTGGGTTGAGGGGGTCAAGTCTGACGAAGAGACAGCGACACGCACGGCAGGGCACACGCCCAGATGGTGAACTGCTCGTTGATATACGAGATGGCTCGTGTTGGTGGGTGCTACTGTCACTTTGGTCTGGACCACGTCACGGCTAGTAGCTACTTGACTCGCGAAGAACCGAAGACATTTCGGTCCTTCCTCGACCATTATCAGGTCTGCATATAACATGTTTTTACAACACATAAGCCTGACTTTCTCTGTTTTCTTGCGATGACTTAGAACACAGCTGCTCGATAGAAGGTCACAGAAAGTTAACTTACTGCGACCTTACTAATGCTGAATACAGTCAAGGTATAGGATCTCTAGTTAGTGGCCATTGAATATTATATATATACCCCTTCTTCTTCCGAGGGCGGCACCAAAATGCTTAGGTTCTCCTGCGGAGGCAAGGCTATCCCGTCCAAATAAACTTTTTAGTGGATTTATCAAGTTCCAATTAATATTTGGTAAATCAAGTAGGCCTCCATATTAGTTCAAGATAACACAATGCCCAGTAGTGGCGCCACCGTGCCGCTGGTGGAGTCTTCAGAGATCGTGAGCATAATCTGGATTCTTCCCCCACACTCGCCGAGCTCAAGAAAGATTACCAAGGGACCTTTTTTCCATTAATTCTTTATAATTATTAATGTTGACTTGTCACGTATGACAAGTGGCTTTATTCATATTGCTGGTAATAGGGCCATTAGATTAATATCAGATATGACAAGTGCACACTAATGTATGAGGGTTTTGCCCTCAATCAGGAAAGGTGTTATTTATATAAACATTATATGTGAGTGACGAAGATGGAAAAGTTTCTCCTTCACAGTGGTTATGTCGTGTTGTATTTGGTTGCTTGTCAGTCGTCTCTAGATGGCGAACACTTTCGTTTCCTGTCGTGTTATGGTGTTGGTTCAGCCTTACTTGCTAATCTTTCTTTTCAATATTTCCTCTATGGCAATTATTAGAACAGTTAGAGCAAACTTGAGTCCTTGGTCACCCAAGTCATCAAGATCACTGAATTGCAGGAGCGACACGCACCGAACTGTGTCGTTTCTGAACTTGTGTAGTTTCTGACCTCTGTCATGCTGACCTCTGTCATGTGGAGGAGTCAAGTGGAGGAGTTTTATACGATTCATAAGGAGTGTTCGTCCTGTTTCTTTGGTCCGTCTGATCCTTCTCTGAAGCCGAAGACCGCTTCTTCTCTCTTTGGCATTGAATGTGTAGTGGACTTGCCGTAGTGGTTTTCCCGGTGACCGAGGTCTGGTTTGTTGCAGCATGAGTTCCAGCACACCTTGTTCAATGGCTGACGTGCATCGCTATATGACGGTCAGTTGTTCGATAGTGTACAAGTCTGTTTTTAGATTTACTTGATAAATGATTGATTTTCTAGTATTTACCAGAGAGAGCCGTTCCATTCCGGCATTGAGCTGATCTTTGATCATCACATGCTGACCCCCCTTTTGGAGAGGGGAAGACAGGTTTTTAAAATAATACTTGCTTCCAGGTGGCAGAGAAAGCCACAGAAGCTTGATACACCGATCCGTCGTTATTTTTAAGAGGACGGGTTGGATAACGACCCTGAAGGTTCAGATCTGCAAGCTCCGGAAAGCTACTGAGAGGCCGACCAGAGTGGTATATTCTTAAACTCAACCTTTAAGGTTAAGGGGTTGAGGCTGACAATATTTTAGAGCATTGATATGTCTAATGAAAGGTAAATCAGGTTATCACATAAAACATTATACTGTGTTTTAAGTAATAAATTAAATTTTTTTCTGACATGATCCCTGAAAACACAAACCGAAACTGTTTCTATTTTCCGCTTGTTACAACTTGTAATAAAGTTGTTACATCTTGGCTTAACGTGTTTATGACGTATTAGAACGTTGTTACAACATGCTATATTGGTTGTTATAACTGGTTAGGTGTTAAAACTTGTTCGAACGTTGTACCAACGTCGTAGTTTCGGTGTGTGTTTGGCGGGATTACCGTTATTGTGTAATGCTATTAATTTGGTTTAAATGAATAATATTGATTTAAATACTTTGACCCCGAATTATTAAAAGATTTTGATCCATGTAGACACAAAGATGCATTCTCTCGTCCCTTTTCGTAGGCCATGTGAGCTACGATGTGGCCCTGGAGCTCTACAGCTACCTGCGCCACGAGACCGAGTACGTGCCCTGGGTAGCAGCCGTCAACAACCTGGGCTATTTAAGGAGCATGTTCACACGCACAGGCAGCTACGGCGCTCTCAAGGTGAGCAGTGAATATCGTAATTACCAGTTCCCAGTAAACTGCAAGTTTATTATCGACTGGCAGTCATATTTTGTTGGTTTTAGTGGTATTAGTGGCCTAAATCTAATATATGTACAGGTACAGAAATCACGAAAATGTTACACCGGTGTTGCCCTGCGCCTTCCCGGCCCTCTCTTCACCGAACACCGGTGTATCTGCGGCGATGCGTCGGCAGACCGACGCATGGATGGATGTTAACCAAGAAGCTGACACTAATATGAAAATACTTTCTACATTTTATTTGGAAACAAATCCTCGAACCTAACACATCTTTAAAGTGACAATGTAAACATTGATAACAAAAGTTAGAGAAAGTTCCATAAGAGACTTTCGTATTAACATTCGAAAAGCAAAACAAATAAAAATCATTCAAAGTTGTTGGTATACGTTCCACAATCAGATACTATGTAATACACTATGTTCTCCTCACACTATACTAATTAGTAACGTATCATATCAAATAAAATAGGTGAATGAAATGGTATCTTAATATCTAACATACGGTATCTGTGCTGTTCAACCAACTGTAGACAATTTGTAGATAATTTGTTCAACCACTGTAAACAAACTCAAGCCCAGCATCACCAACCAAAAATCAGTAAGCAGAGGTGATAAATTTTGGCGGCAAACAACTCTCAGTCCCTCTGTTTAGATCCTCAAGCATGCTAAACAAACACATTATATTGTGCTGGTTACCCTTCCAAATCCTAATTCTTAAATTCTAATCTTATTTTGAAACTATTTTTGTAATTCAGTTTTTGTCTTGCATTATGTATACAATTAAAGCTTTTCTTCCCCACGCCAGAGCTACCTGCTGGACATGGTGGTCCCGCTCTATGACAGGGTTGGGTTCAACAACAGAGCGGACGACCCTCTCCTGGAGCAGTACCTGCGCCACACTGCCGTCAGCTGGGCCTGTACGCTGCGCCACAAACCTTGTCAAAATAACGCGCTCAGTCTCTTTCGCCAGTGGATGACCAACCCAAAGAATCACACGTAAGCTAATTTTAGATTGGTTACATATGTTCCAGTAGGAATAGCAAGGTTTTGTCACATTTTGAGTAGATTTTTGCTCGGACTTCTACATTGTTTTCAAACTGCCGTCACCTGCGAATGAGTAACAATGTTTCCTGTTGATAGTGGGGAGGGTAGTCTAATGGAGGTTACTTGTAGACCTGCTCTTGTTGGAAAATTTGGGAAAATTGTACGTATTTTGCATGGAAACGACATGAGCACAACGACACCCATCTTCCTCTCGCACCGACACCCACTCTCATCCCACGCCAACACCCACTAACTCTCCTCTCACTCCAACGGAGTCCCACAGGGTTCAATACTCGGACCGCTCCTGTTTTTGGTAAATGCATTTAATCTTCCTGGGGAAATATCTTCACTTCTATCATGTCTTCGAATTTGTTTGCATTATCAGCAGAGTATTAAGACAGGGTGATACACATTCTTGCCACATCAACACCTGTACATCCACACTCTCTAATAACTCTCACCCACCTCAGCCTATGAATCCACCCACCATAAGAACCCACCAACCCACTCGCCTAACGAACCCCAACAGAGCGCACGTTCTTTCACACTGCCATCTTACCCAACCAACCAATACCTCACGTACTTACACAGTCACAACCTCCACTCATACACAACCTCAACTCGTATCATCTACCAGCAAACACAAATACATTATCCTTCCATTCCACCCTCAAATCCACAGTCAACCCTCACACACTATTACCTTATTCTACCCACAGCTTTACTCCCCCACCCATCCTCCAGCCTGCCAACTCGCTCAATAACCACCCAGTCACCCATGAAGACAACCCCACCCACTCAACAATCATCCATGAAAACAACCCACCCACTCAACAATCACCCATGAAGACAACCCCACCCACTCAACAATCATCCATGAAAACAACCCACCCACTCAACAATCACCCATGAAGACAACCCACCCACTCAACAATCACCCAGTCACCCATGAAGACAACCCCACCCACTCAACAATCACCCAGTCACCCATGAAGACAACCCCACCCACTCAACAATCACCCAGTCACCCATGAAGACAACCCCACCCACTCAACAATCACCCAGTCACCCATGAAGACAACCCATCGACTCAACAATCACCCATGAAGACAACCCTCCCACTCAACAATCATCCATGAAGACATCCCACCCACTCAACAATCACCCATGAAGACAACCCACCCACTCAACAATCACCCATGAAGACAACCCACACACTCAACAATCACCCATGAAGACATCCCACCCACTCAACAATCACCCATGAAGACAACCCACCCACTCAACAATCACCCAGTCACCCATGAAGACAACCCACCGACTCAACAATCACCCATGAAGACAACCCACCCACTCAACAATCACCCATGAAGACAACCCACCCACTCAACAATCACCCATGAAGACAACCCACCCACTCAACAATCACCCATGAAGACAACCCACCCACTCAACAATCACCCATGAAGACATCCCACCCACTCAACAATCACCCATGAAGACATCCCACCCACTCAACAATCACCCATGAAGACAACCCACCCACTCAACAATCACCCATGAAGACAACCCACCCACTCAACAATCACCCATGAAGACATCCCACCCACTCAACAATCACCCATGAAGACAACCCACCCACTCAACAATCACCCATGAAGACATCCCACCCACTCAACAATCACCCATGAAGACAACCCACCCACTCAACAATCACCCATGAAGACAACCCACCCACTCAACAATCACTCATGAAGACATCCCACCCACTCAACAATCACCCATGAAGACATCCCACCCACTCAACAATCACCCATGAAGACAACCCACCCACTCAACAATCACCCATGAAGACATCCCACCCACTCAACAATCACCCATGAAGACAACCCACCCACTCAACAATCACCCATGAAGACATCCCACCCACTCAACAATCACCCATGAAGACAACCCACCCACTCAACAATCACCCATGAAGACAACCCACCCACTCAACAATCACCCATGAAGACAACCCACCCACTCAACAATCACCCATGAAGACAACCCACCCACTCAACAATCACCCATGAAGACAACCCACCCACTCAACAATCACCCATGAAGACAACCCACCCACCTGAACTCCACACTCACCATAACAAGAAATACAGTAAGATGGCAGGTGTAGTGAAGACGGATAAGACAAAACCGGGAGCTATAATCAAGAAGCATCACGTGTCCAGAGAGAGGTCACGCGAACACCTTGATTACCATCTTACTTGTGTTCAACACCTAATGCATCTCCATCCGATTTAGCTTCTTAGAAATAACTGTTGCTTGAAATTGTTTCACCCAAATCGGCCTATCTGGCGCCTTCGTTTAGCAACAACAGATATAACTAGGATTGAACATTGCTGATATTTTCTCATATAACTAATTCCTTTCTGTTCCCCCCCTCCTTTGCCTGCAGGATAATCTCGCCCAATCTGAAGCCTGTGATTTACTGCCAGGCCCTAGCGGCAGGCGGGGAGGAGGAGTGGAACTTCTCCTGGGATCAGTACCTCCAGAGCAACGTTGGGTCGGAGAAGAATAGGCTACTGAGCGCCATGGGCTGCACCAGGGAGCTGTGGCTACTCTCTAGGTTGGTGCTCGTCATCTGCTACGTGTCTTGGTACCTACGTGGTGTGATAATTTGATTCCCTGGTATTTTCATTTTATGGTATTTTGGGGTTTTGATACCTTGATTGTATGACATTGTTATGCCTTGATGTTATGGTATTTTGATATATATATGCATTTTGATATCTTGGTATATATATATATATATATATATATATATATATATATATATATATATATATATATATATATATATATGTATTTTGATATCTTGGTATATATATATATATATATATATATATATATATATATATATATATATATATATATATATATATATATATATATATATATATATATATGTATTTTGATATCTTGGTATATATATATATATATATATATATATATATATATATATATGCAAACAAGCCTGAATGGTCCCCAGGACTATATACAACTGAAAACTCACACCCCAGAAGTGACTCGAACCCATACTCCCACAACTGGTATGTACAGGGACGCCTTAATCCGCTTGACCATCACGACCGGACATAAGGAAGTGATAGCCGAGGCTATTTGAACCACTTCCCCGCCGGCACTCGGATGGTAATCTTGGGCATAGCATTTTATCAAATCACCTCATTCTTTGGGGCACACGTGAGGAACACAAATGCAAACAAGCCTGAATGGTCCCCAGGACTATATACAACTGAAAACTCACACCCCAGAAGTGACTCGAACCCATACTCCCACAACTGGTATGTACAGGGACGCCTTAATCCGCTTGACCATCACGACCGGACATAAGGAAGTGATAGCCGAGGCTATTTGAACCACTTCCCCGCCGGCACTCGGATGGTAATCTTGGGCATAGCATTTTATCAAATCACCTCATTCTTTGGGGCACACGTGAGGAACACAAATGCAAACAAGCCTGAATGGTCCCCAGGACTATATACAACTGAAAACTCACACCCCAGAAGTGACTCGAACCCATACTCCCACAACTGGTATGTACAGGGACGCCTTAATCCGCTTGACCATCACGACCGGACATAAGGAAGTGATAGCCGAGGCTATTTGAACCACTTCCCATCCGAGTGCCGGCGGGGAAGTGGTTCAAATAGCCTCGGCTATCACTTCCTTATGTCCGGTCGTGATGGTCAAGCGGATTAAGGCGTCCCTGTACATACCAGTTGTGGGAGTATGGGTTCGAGTCACTTCTGGGGTGTGAGTTTTCAGTTGTATATAGTCCTGGGGACCATTCAGGCTTGTTTGCATTTGTGTTCCTCACGTGTGCCCCAAAGAATGAGGTGATTTGATAAAATGCTATGCCCAAGATTACCATCCGAGTGCCGGCGGGGAAGTGGTTCAAATAGCCTCGGCTATCACTTCCTTATGTCCGGTCGTGATGGTCAAGCGGATTAAGGCGTCCCTGTACATACCAGTTGTGGGAGTATGGGTTCGAGTCACTTCTGGGGTGTGAGTTTTCAGTTGTATATAGTCCTGGGGACCATTCAGGCTTGTTTGCATTTGTGTTCCTCACGTGTGCCCCAAAGAATGAGGTGATTTGATAAAATGCTATGCCCAAGATTACCATCCGAGTGCCGGCGGGGAAGTGGTTCAAATAGCCTCGGCTATCACTTCCTTATGTCCGGTCGTGATGGTCAAGCGGATTAAGGCGTCCCTGTACATACCAGTTGTGGGAGTATGGGTTCGAGTCACTTCTGGGGTGTGAGTTTTCAGTTATATATATATATATATATATATAGGATATATATATATATATATATATATATATATATATATATATATATATATATATATATATATATATATATATATATATAGGCTTAGGATATGCCTACGGCAATGTTAAGACGCATAAACCAGGTAACCCACTACGCCCTATAATCAGCCAAATACCAACCCCAACTTATCACCTGGCAAAGAAACTCAATGAACTCCTAACTCCATACACTCCAAGTAAGTTTAGTCTACAATCATCAGCAGATTTCCTAGAATTGATCAAATCTACCCAGCCCGATGGAATCATCGCTTCCCTGGACGTTGAATCCCTTTTTACCAACGTCCCAGTCGACACAACCATAGGAATGATACTGGACAGAGTATACAGAGACGAGAACACCCCCAAATTAGACATACCTGAGCCACACTTGAAAAGTCTTCTCGAAGCATGTACAAAGGAAGCCCCTTTCATCAGTCCACAAGGAGACATGTATTTACAAATAGACGGAGTAGCAATGGGCTCCCCCTTAGGAGTTTTATTTGCTAATTTTTATATGGGAACCATCGAAGATAGGGTCTTCAGTAGCAGACAAAAACCAACTGTATACTGCCGTTATGTAGATGACATATTCGTAATAGTAAAAGACTCAGATGAACTAATTGACCTAAAAAGACACCTAGAGAGAGAGTCAGTACTCCGATTTACACATGAAAATAGTGAAAATAACAGTCTGCCATTCTTGGATGTACTAATAACAAAAACAGGAACCTCTTTAAGCACCAACGTATATACCAAGCCCACCAACATAGGATTATGCCTGAACGGTAGAAGTGAGTGCCCCCAAAGATACAAAGCCAGTGTTCTCAATGCTTATATTCGTCGAGCGCTTACCCACTGCTCTGAATGGAGCAACGTGAGTAGAGAGTTTGAAAGAGTAACTCAGGTATTGGTGAACAACGGATATAGCAACGCGGAAATAAACGCTGCTATAAGAAGACACTTGGACCGTTGGTATAATTCAGAACCTAGAACAGAAACCACAACACCCCCAATAAAATTATATTACAAATCAACCATGCACAGTGAACATATAAAAGAGGAAAGAATAATGAAAGAAATAATCCGTAAAGGAGTAAAAAGCACTACTCCTAACCAAAACATAAACCTGATAATATTCTACAAAACCAAGAAGACTTCCGAACTCCTTATCAAAAACAGCCCGAAGCCGACGGAGAACCCTCTACAGCAGTCAAGCGTTGTATACATGTACACTTGCCCCCACGAAGGATGTAACCTTCAATGTAAGTACATAGGTATGACGTCGACCAAGCTGACGAGGCGTTTGACATGCCATATATATATATATATATATGTATATGTATTTTGATATATTGGTATTTTGACACCTTGATATTCTACTCTGGTATTTTCATATTCTGGTATATTTTATAACAATACTCTAGTATAAGTAATGATAATGTCTTCTCACAACCATAATAGCACAGGATAAAAACCCACACTTGTGTATTTCTGAAATTTATGTAAGGAATTTACATCAAGTCTTTTGCACTCTTCTGAGTACTTTGTCAAGGTCTGAATGTGTGATTAGGACGTGACTATAACTCCTTAACGTCTATTGAGCTAACTACACACTGAGACCTTTGCAATACACCCAGGAGAGTGTGAAAGACTTGGTGTAAATTCCTTAAAAAAAATTCACAAATACTCTTGTGGATTTTTATCCTATAATACTATAGTATTTTTAATACCTTGATACTTTATATCATTCATAGTCTTGAAACTAGTGAATACATAAACTTCTTGCACCCTGTTCTCATTCTTGAGCAATAAAACTTAAATTTTTTAGCACCAAGTTCATCTGTACCTTCAGTAAAGTATGAATATTTTAGAATTTATGTTGATGAAAAAGAAGCATGCTTTCTTCAGGTACTTGGAGATGGCCTTCGACTCCAACAGTGGCATCAGGAAGCAGGATACACAGCTTGTCTTTGCGGCTGTTGCCTACAACGATGTAGGGCGTCCCCTGGCCTGGACCTTCCTCAGGGACAACTGGAAGAAAGTCTATGACTAGTAAGTTACTATTTTTTGAAGTCTAACAATGCTTGCCACTCTTAAGTGAAGAAGAGTTACAGGGTTTAATGTATTAATTTAATGCAGGCATTAATGCACGAAATAAGAGTGTACTGGATTTTATAGTAAAATCATTAGCAACAGACGTATGAATATCATACTTCATGTGCATCAAGCAATGGTGAAGCCTCACCTGGACTACTCTATGTAGATACACAGATAAAAATTGTATAAAATAATAATTCATTGTGTCAGACAGGCAGCCAGAATGTGTGTTTATACACGTTAGGCTTATATCGAGTTCCCCCTTCCCCCCCTGAAGTCGAATTACTGACCCTCCCCAGGATGCAACCCCACAACAAGCTGACTACTAGTTACCTACATGCTACAAGATGAACAGATGAATTAGGTGACCAGAAATGCACCCAACCATTTCTATCCCGTCCTGATTCGAATCCGGAATTCTCGATTGAGAGTCAAGAACAAACCCGACTGTACTACCAAGAATCACACTAACGTGATATATATAAATGATAAAATCCACTTGTGCTCTGAGGTGACACGAACCCACGACCAAGAAACTAAACTACGTTGCCTACACCCCGAATGTTGATGATGATCTACATCTAGATGATGCAGATGATCTGCACTTTGCATTTCTGGTCGCCGTACTACTGGATGGACATATTCTCTAGAGAAAATACAAAGAAGAATGACAAGGTTGATGCCTAGTATAAGGGACCATTTTTATAATATCAGGTCCCAATCTACACTTGCTAGAAAGACGCAGGATAAGGGGTGAATATGATCAAGGATGCCAACTGGTTTTGGCGCATAAAAATGGAGCATATAAACATGGTTGTGGAGTTGTCAGAATATGTGAGAACCCTCAATAATAGGCACGTTTGATAAATTTAGATTTAAGAGGGATATATGGAAATAATCGTTTGGAAATGGAGCTGTTGGTTAGTGGAATGAGTTACTATCTAGTATTAGTGAGATGTAGAATTTAACAGGTTTCAAGAATATCTTGAATGAATACATAGGTGAGATGGGATGATCTAATATGTGCCATCATGCCTGCTGCTGAGCTCCCCAAGTCTTCTGATTTGATCTTGTTCTAGATATGAATATAAGTTCTAATTACTCTTAAATTAATTATATTCTAAACCACTAATGACGAGAAGGGCTCGTATATATATATATATATATATATATATATATATATATATATATATATATATATATATATATATATAATATATATATAATATATATATAATACATTATATATATTATATATATATATTTTATATATATATAATATATGTATATATATATTTTATATATATATAATATATATATAATATATATATATATATATATTATACATATATTATATATATATATTATATATATATATATATATATATATATATATATATATATATATATATATATATATATATATTATATATATTATATATATATATATATATATATATATATATATATATATATATATATATATATATATATATATATATATATATATATATATATATATATATATATATATATTATATATATATATATATATATATATATATATATATATATATATATATATATATATATATATATATATATATATATATATATATATATTATATATATGTTATATATATATATATATATATATATATAATATAATATAATTTTCTTTTTTCCTGAGCAGCTTCGGAGGAAAAGCGAAGTCGTTCTTGATCTCTTCCTCAGCCTCCGGCTTCAACACTCGGCAACAGCTCAAGGAGGTGTGTATTTTATCCATTTCTCACTCTTAATTTATTTGAATAATGAAATGAAAACCACAAATTTGTAAATATTTTCTTTCTTGTGTGTTTTGTGCCTTAATTTTGATATATCCATTGATTGAAAAATCACAGAACTGATAATAATAATGATTTCATTAATGTTTTGCATGTGATAGTTAACAATTTCCCATATTTGCGTTCTTATAAACTAGGTCCCCATTTTCTGTACTCAAATTGCAGTACAGTGGACTGGGAGAGAACTCGTGTTTTTCCATAATGTAATTATAATAATCTTTCCTATCACTCAAAACGATAATTGCTCTGTTTGTGGATATTTGCACTGTACTTTACATATTAACTGATGGAAAAGTATGAAAGTTATGGATGTTTTATTTTTACTGAGATGTAGGCCGATCATATGCACACATTTCCATATTTCTTTCATGTTCAAAAATATATGAAGAATATTGAAATGTTCATAAAATTTCGTGTATTCAGCACAGTCACGCATAATTTATTATTAATGCACATTTTGTAAGGCATCTCTGCGCTACAAAATTAATTTGTGAATATTATGACACCACATTTGTAGCTATAATCCAAAAGCTGAGAAAAAGTATAGAGAATAAACATATTAAACGTCGCTGAGCAGGACTGAGATGGCAGGAGTCTTCACGGTAGGTAGGGAACGGTAAGGTGACCTCGAAACCTAGAGGATTTTATGAAGAAAGTTAAAGAAATAGATAAAAACAAATAATTATCTTAGCTAGACTCGCTCTTTACAAAAAAAATACCGGTGGACAGTGTTCTCGCGGTCTTGGGGGACACATTGATAAATCATAAATCAACACAACTCTTCCTATGACCGCCAGTAAGATCAAAGACTCATCACGTTTTTGTATCGACCAATAGAAATTAATCAGTGATTATTGCACGAATCTTCTTAAAAAAATTTCTTCTTTACTTGAGAAGAAACTTGACAAATTAACTTTCCAGGGATCATTTAAAAGCAAAATGTAAAAAGTAATAGGAGAAAATATATTTTAGATAATTTAAGAGAGTTTATTTAATTACAAAAGTAAAACTTAATATAATCTACCAGTTACCGGTTCTAATTCAAAGCAATTAATAGGTGTTTAACCGGATCACAAGAAAAGTATTACACATATACAAGAAACGGATTGTCTACCGGCATACCAAACAGTGAAATCCTATACTATGCTACTATAATACCTACTCTCCTTCCCTGTGGCTCCCTCCATAGAACTATCACTGATTGTAGAGATAAGCACCTTTTAAAAAAATACCACTCGGTAAGCCTTGTCTCAAACAACCTTTGCACAACTAATTATGGGTTAACATTTTGTAATTGATGGAAGAAATTAAAATCAAATCCAATTCCTTATCTTATTTCCAGGTGATGGCCTTCCAGGAGGAACACCGTGAAGAGCTGAAGACCGCCTCCAGAAAGGTGGATCAGAAAATAGAGACAATAACGAACGACATCGCCTGGATGGACGCTAACTACGAGACTATAGTTCAATGGCTGGAACAGCAGGGATACAGCACCAAGCTGAGGAGTATATGAAAGATCTCAACTCACTCATCAAGGGAAAACTCTTAAGTATAACCAAAATGTACTCTTAATAACATCTGAAAAGCATCAACACGAATATTAATTATTATAAGAGGTAAAATCATAATCAAGAATATGAACGTCTGGAAAGCAACATAACTCACTGAGGACCTCTGAGTATGTTTTAACACCGCTAGATATATCCGAGTATGGGGGTGACACTACCAGAAAGCCTTATGAGTATACTGCAACACCATAAGACAGTTTCATGAGACTGCTGTAGCACCACCAGAAAGCTTTCAGTAAATTGTAACACCTTCAGCAGCAACAACAGCAATACCTGAGTAGCATCTTGTCCAGAACAACAAAGCTGAATGAAGTCAGAAGACATCTTGAGTAAATAAGAACGTCTTGAGTGACAATCTCGATCAAGAGAACTGAGAAGCACACGACTGTAAGAACCTTCGATAGTTATCCGCATAACTTTTTATCTTTTCTTTGATCACCTTTCTATGCCAATGCCACAGATGCTCTTCGCGTCTGCACTGATTTTACTCAGGAAATAAGCATGTAAATTAGATTCATGACGCCCGCAAGTTATGACAGATTACACAATTTCATTTCCTTTTTTTCTTCATATTCCACATATCACATTGCTGTTCATATTTTTGTTAATATAATGCTTATTTAATCATGTGACATTATGAATTAGGAATTTGGGGAATTCCTAATTCCCCAAAATATATTCCCCAAACGAATACCTTTGGGGGGTTATATTTTAAAATTTATGACCGCTGCTTCCAGTTCTGAATGAGGAGCTCTTTAGCTTTTGTATGTCTGTCTGTCTGAAGATTATTGTGTGGAAAATGTCATAAGATCGTGATTGAAAACCAATATCCCAACATGCGCATGAAAGTAAAGAAAAGTCAGGACGTTTCGCTCTGTTTTGAACCCAAATAAAGTCAAAATTTGATAAGGGTTCATTACAGACCGAAACGTCGACACTTCTTTCATTACATATATGTGTGTGCGTTGAGTTGTAGGAATTTTGTATTATTGTATTTATATGCCAATGGCGCCAAGGCAAACTGTATATATGTATTGTTGATAATATATATTTAGGATAGTTTATCTTGTATTTATTTTCTTCCTATCCTATATATATATATATATATATATATATATATATATATATATATATATATATATATATATATATATATATATATATATATATATATATATATATATAATTACGAAATACCTGGAAATTCCGAAAATGAGTTTTGGAGAACTCCTCTTTCAGCTAAGCTCCTGATGCTAAGAAAATAGAGGGATAGAAGCCCTTAATCAGAAGATAGTAAATACAGAATATGCGGTCATATTCAATGAGATATATAATATATATATATATATATATATATATATATATATATATATATATATATATATATATATATATATATATATATATATATATATATATATATATATATATCCTTAGCACCAGGGAAGCACCTTAGTACCACCTTATATATCCAGGGGAGCCGGTCGGCCGAGCGGACAGCACGCTGGACTTGGGATCCTGTGGTCCTGGGTTCGATCCCAGGCGCCGGCGAGAAACAATGGGCAGAGTTTCTTTCACCCTATGCCCCTGTTACATAGCAGTAAAATAGGTACCTGGGTGTTAGTCAGCTGTCACGGGCTGCTTCCTGGGGGGGGGTGGAGACACTAAAAAGCCCCGAAATCATCTCCCGATAACCTCCCGATATAGCACTGGTCAGTCAGGGACACCTACATTGGGTCCCTGCCATTGCTACATCTGCTACCTGGGGGTTGGTTGCCTGGGCCAGAGTCTGAGGAGAGCTTGTTTTTAGTTGTTTTCTTTTATCTCATCCTGCACTGCACTTAATTCCATCTGCAGTTTACTTATGGTTTCCCCTCATGTCTATCAATTCCCCCACTGATTTCCCTCCAAGCACGAGCAGTCATCTCCATGTATGACTCGCCCTGTCCCTCTCCTCCAACTGTGTTCTGTTGTCCTAATATCATGATTGATCCCTTTTTTTGGTACATAGGGTTAGTGTTAAAGTACAAGGATCAGGAAGATGAAGAGGGAGATAAAGAGGGAGATGGTAAGGGGGAGACGGAGGGAGCGGAGGATATAGGTGGAGAGGTTGTGGGAGATGAGAGGGTGTGTGCGCGTTTGTGCATGTGCGTGTGTATGTTTGTGTTTGTATTCCCCCTAGTTGTGCTTGAGGGGTTGAACTGTGGCTCTTTCGGCCCGCCTCTCAACTGTTAATCAACTGGTATTTTTTTTTTTGTACACACACACACACACACACACACACACACACACACACACACACACACACACACACACACACACACACACACACACACACACACACACACACACAGCCCGTAACAGCTGTCTAACTCCCAGGTACCAATTTACTGCTAGGTGAACAGGTACATCAGTGTGAAAGAAACTCTGCCCATTTGTTTCCGCCTTCGCCGGGGATTGATTCCCGGTCCCTAAGCTTACGAATCCCGAGCGCTGTCCACTCAGCTACCAGGCCCCATGTGTGAGTGAGGGGGGGGGGGGAAAGCAGGTAGTGGTGCGTGTGTGGGGTGGACAGGGAGTGGTGTGTGTGTGTGCAGTGGGCAAGTAGTGGTATGTGTGTGTGTAGTGGGCATGTAGAGGTGTGTGTTTCTTGACTGGTCAGCAGTGGGTGTGTTCTCAGGTGGGTGGTCAGGGAGGCATCGTTTTAATGCCTTTGTATGACTAACCATCCTGTGTGTTGGGGATTTTAGCCAACGTAGCTACCTTTTTGACACACACACTGTACTCCCCTTCAAATAGTGTAGGGTAGCTACACAAATGCAGAGGTACCTAAATGTGTTAATAAAATAAAAATCGTTGTAATGGTGGGTCGGGCAACATTTTTTTTTTTTTTTACATGCAAGCATGCAAAGTAAAGACAATAAATACAATAAAATATCACAGAAAACAAAAACAAATATAGAAGCCACCGGCCAGAAGGACCGACAGCACAGGACAATAATTAGCAAAAATGGAGGAACGCATGAGAAACACACCATACATCAAGACAAATTATAAAACAATAACAATAATAAACAAGTAAATAATGGAAGCAAATAAACAAAACTTAAGAACAATATAAAAGAAAACAAACAAGCACCGGCCGGAATGACCGACAACAAAACACATCATAATGTATAAAATGAAACATAACACAAGACAAAGCACACACTAACAAATCATAAATATAAACAAAAGGAAAAATAAAAAGAAAACACAATACAACAAGGTAATACATGAAGAGAACACACACTCTGCAAAACACCGGCCCCTCCACAAACAAAGGGAGAGGCACGGGCACAGAAGACAGTAGGGCAAACAAAACGCCAGAGGGGCACACAACACTACAAATAGCAAAAAAAAAAAACAGGGAATCAGCAGACATACTTGCCCGCGAACAAGACCCTTGGGAATCGCACATTGAACGCCTCCCAACGTAACCACCCCCAAGGGTCTCGTTCACCCACTGGGGACGCCATGTCATCCGGAACCTTAGCAACAAACACCCGTAAGCAGGGGACCCAAATGGTATCACTCCTGACGCGAGTAACTGCCACAATCCCCCACATCATGGGAACACCCCCACCATGAAATTCCCTCGGCTCGTCATTCAGCAGTAACTCAGCAATCGCCGACCAGTGACTCGGTGGCATCACCGACGCCGGCAACACGTCCCCCAAGTCCCCAACACGTACCCTCAAAGGAGGGGGCTGGACATAGGACACCAGCACCGGGGCACCAGCGGCCACAGGCACACCACCAGACGACTGCAGGGAACCAGGGCGGCGTGCATCCTTCCATAATGTCACAACCAGGCCACGCCCAGCACCAGCAACCACACCATCCCTGGGAGCGGGAGCCACCACCTCCCACTGCAGAGTCCCCAGGCGGAAAAGGAACGGAAGGCACCCCCGAGACCCGGGCACCAGCATCAGCAGGCACATGAACCTCTGCCACCACCAACCGTGGAGACAGCGACACATCCGGTTCCACACCGTCAACTCCCAAGGACCCACAGTCACCGAATTCCCCAACATCGGCCCAGGCAGACGACGAACGCTTGGGCTCCGGCCAGAGATCATCAGAGCCGGAAGCGGACCCAGAAACACGGGTCCCACCAGCCGGACGAACCGACGCCCGACGCAGAACGGCAACAGCCTCTACCACAGGGGGAACCGGCCCACACACAGCAGGAGGCTCCGCAGCCACCCCAGCACCCAGCACATCCGGGACCCGAGGTGAGAACACAGGGCCAGACGCATCAGCCGAAGACGAGGGAGAAGATGGCCGCGCGTCACAATGATCACCAGGAAGGCCTTCAGGAGCAGCGGAGACAGCGACAGGAGCACGTAGACCATCCGATGGCACTGCAAGACCCGGAGGAGAGTCTGCAACAACCGGAGGAACGTCCAGCGATGTATGGGGAGCTGCATCCGTTAACTGAACGCTCACCTCCTCATCCCCGGAGACCTCCTCCAGAGGGAGCGGCGGGAAATCCTCTTCCCGGAACAAGTTGACTGGGGCAACCGGATCCGCAGTACATCCGGCAGCCTGATGCCCCAACATGCCACACCGGAAACAAGTACGGGGTTGCTGGGCATAATACACCCGCACGTAGTACCCTAAAAGTCGGACAGAGGATGGAATGTCGGACACCAGGCGCATCCCGAGGGTACGAATGTTCGTCTTCACTCCCGCATATTTTCCAGAAGATAGCTTGTGCATCCTCACACTGACGACAGAGCCAAATCTCTGGAAGAAACGCCTGAGAAGGGACTCAGGGAATTCCATGGGGGCCCCATGGACGCTCACATGGTACGCCTCCTCACCCACAAACTTGATGATCACCCGGCGAGCAGTCACCAGCTCAACCCCGTAGACCTCCACGACCGGGACATGTAGCACGTCACACACGACCTACTCAACGAGAGGATAACCTGCACGGCAGGTAAACTCCAACCCCACGGAGTTTACCCTCTCGACAGCGGGAAGATGGCCGCTCATCGCAAAAGCGCCACGTCAACACCAGTCAGGGACAGCAGGGAGGGTATAGACACTCACACCCCCTGCTGGCGAAAACGGCAACCTCCCCAAACTGCCGGAGCGGTCAGACGACACGTCCTCACCCTACGGCAGCGCAGGTTCAATATATATATATATCCTTAGCACTGGTCAGTCAGGGACACCTACATTGGGTCCCTGCCATTGCTACATCTGCTACCTGGGGGTTGGTTGCCTGGGCCAGAGGAGAGCTTGTTTTTTTTATCTCATCCTGCGCTGCACTTAATTCCATCTGCAGTTTACTTATGGTTTCCCCTCATGTCTATCAATTCCCCCACTGATTTCCCTCCAAGCACGAGCAGTCATCTCCATGTATGACTCGCCCTGTCCCTCTCCTCCAACTGTGTTCTGTTGTCCTAATATCATGATTGATCCCTTTTTTTGGTACATAGGGTTAGTGTTAAAGTACAAGGATCAGGGAGATAAACAGGGAGATGGTAAGGGGGAGACGGAGGGAGCGGAGGATATAGGTGGGGAGGTTGTGGGAGATGAGAGGGTGTGTGCGCGTTTGTGCATGTGCGGGTGTGTGTGTGTTTGTATTCCCCCTAGTTGTGCTTGAGGGGTTGAGCTGTGGCTCTTTCAGCCCGCCTCTCAACTGTTAATCAACTGGTATTTTTTTTTTTTTTGTACACACACACACACACACACACACACACACACACACACACACACACACACACACACACACACACACACACACACACACACACACACACACACACACACACACACACACACACACACACACACACACACACACATACACACACACACACACAGCCCGTAACAGCAGTCTAACTCCCAGGTACCTATTTACTGCTAGGTGAACAGGTACATCAGTGTGAAAGAAACTCTGCCCATTTGTTTCCTCCTTCGCTGGAGATCGATTCCCGGTCCCTAAGCTTACGAATCCCGAGCGTTGTCCACTCAGCTACCAGGCCTCATATGTGAGTGGGGTGGGG